ATATTGATATTGTGGTTGTAGGCCATAAAATTTCAGCTTTTATTATTGTCTACATAAGACCCAACGTTACCATTTCTAGCCAAACTGACAAAGTGAAGACGTGGTCATCACGAACAACTGCACATGCCGTTTGGTCTACTCAGTGCTTTTATGTCGTGTTTCCGTTACTGTCACTCTACATATCATTAAACTTAAATATTATACAACAATAAATTTGTAAAATGAAAAATTGATTGCGAATCATTTTTTGACCGCAGGTACTTTGAGAATATCTATCTATCTATCTATCTATCTATCTATTTATTTATCTATCTATCTATCATCTATCTATCTATCTGTCTATCTGCCTATCTATCTATCTATCTATCTGTCCATCCATCCATCCATCCTTCCATCCTTCCATCCATTCATCCATCCTTCCTTCCATCCATCCATCCATCCATCCATTCATCCATCTAGCTGCGTATGTCTCTGGGCTCAGGTGATTGCCTCTGTAACATGATACTTTATGTGGACAAAAATTCGTATGGGAGGATATGAGATCGTGAAAAATATGGCTAAATGGTCACGACACAAATGATATGACAATCTTTTCACATACGTGATCATACCCTGATTAGTAATTTAGACGTGAGAGCGTTATGAAGAAATTCGCAGATCCCACGTGCCGTCGTAATCAATGATATGCAATGCACGAATGAGGAAGGGTGATAGCTCACTCTAAAATCAGCACAACGTTAAGAGGCGGAGGTAAATTATGCCGTACATGGCTTCCATGTCATAATTATTGAGTTTGGACGTTTCATTCACCTTCGTCATCTATTAAACGTCACCTGATACCAACTTTGGTATATATGGAGCTAGCGAAACGGCCGCGAGCGTGCTATGAGTGTAGCTTGTAGTCATGTTTTGCATTATATTCACATCATGATTATCATATTTGGACGTGTCCTTTACATTCAACGTCCATTCACGTCACGTATTACCAAATTTGGTACGTGTGTTACTAGTGAAACGGCCGCAAGAACGCTAAGAGCGTAGCATATAGTCATGTTTTACATGAAACGCATATTATGATTATCAGGTTTGCACGTGTCATTTACCTTGGTCGTCTATTCACTCCCGTGATACCAAATTAGGTACAAGTGGAACTAGTAGCGCAACAGCGGTGAACGCGTCATAAAGGGCCCAATATACTCTGATGTAACGTTGATGCGAGCGCAGGCTGGGCGCAGTGACGCCACGCTAGCAAGACGCGAGCACTCTTTAGTGGGACGCCAGGTGCGACCAGCGTCTGTCGGCGCGGCCTGTTGGCAACCATCGCGAAATGCGACATGCTGACGGAGGGACACCGCGTGCGCTCAAACGCGCATGCGTCAAAGCAACGCAGCGCGGCGCGTGCCTTCGAGTATATGGAATGCTGATCCACAAAGGTTAGTGGGCAGGTCCACTGATCTCTACTAAAGGAGTATCGGTGCCTCACGTGGCATCGCCGGCGTTAACGCTATAAAACGAACGCCGGCGCCCACGCGTGCTGGCTCACGTCGAAGTGTATTAGCGCCTTGAGTTTGGCGTGTATTATGTTCTTACATAACACGCATCTCATGATCATCATGTTTGCATCAGTCACATACCTTCTTCACCCATTCACGTGACGTAATACCAAATTTTGGCATATGTGAAGGTAGCGAAACGGCTGCGAGCGCATCATGAGTGTGGGACGTACTCATGTTACATGACATGCATGTCATGAACATCATGTTCGGACTTGTCATTTACCGTGTCGTCCTTTCGCGTCACGTAATACTGAATTTGGTACATGTGAAGCTAGAATGTAGTTATGTTGTCACATGACACGCATCTCATGATTATCATGTTTGCACCAGTCACATACCTTCGTCATCCATTCACGTCCCGTCATACCGAATTCGGTTTATGAGAACCTAGGGAAACGACCGTGAGCGCATCATGAGCATGGCATGTAGTCATGTTGTTACATGACACGCATCTCATGATTATCATGTTTGCATCAGTCACATACCCTCGTCATCCATTCACGTCCCGTAATACCAATTCGGTATATGCAAAGCTAGCAAAATGGCCATGAAGACATCTTAAGTGTAGTAGTCATGTTGTTACATAACACGCATGTCATGATTTTGATGTTAGGGTCTGTTGCTTGTGTTCGCCATGCAATCATGTCATACCATACCAGTTTTGCAACTTATCATGTGAATGAAACCACCACGTGAGCAGCAAGACCATGACATATAAATCAGGACATTAAGACATACATGTCCTGATTTTCATGTTATGAGTAGTCAGTTATGTTCATCATACAGTCATGTTATATCATTCCAAGTTTGGTATGGATACCATTATACAAACCGCCAGGAGAGCTAAAAGTCGTAGACAGCTAGATAGATAGATAGATAGATAGATAGATAGATAGATAGATAGATAGATAGATAGATAGATAGATAGATAGATAGATAGATAGATAGATAGATAGATAGATAGATAGATAGATAGATAGATAGATAGATAGATAGATAGATAGATAGATAGATAGATAGATAGATAGATAGATAGATAGATAGATAGATAGATAGATAGATAGATAGATAGATAGATAGATAGATAGATACGCACTAAGTCACCGAAATTCGCCAAGAAATTCTTCGTATTTAAAACTGATATTGACAGCCTTGACCCGACGAATTCAAGTATAAAAAAATCAGAACCTCCGCAGGGCTCGAACCCTAGCCTTCAGCGTGACAGTCAGGTATTCTACTACCAAGTCACGAGAGGTATACTGTTTCGTAAAAAGGCACCACGCAGGAGTAAAGCCGATAAAACTTGAATTTGGTTGCAGTGCTAGCTATATAGTTTTATAACAAAGCAATAAACACTACACGTGTAAACCCTTGACGCGGATGTCAATCCAGATTACAGTCAATTGTGGTTCCAATGCCGACTCCACCTTTATAGCAGTCTAATAAACATCACGTTCTTATTTCTATGATTCATCAAGCGTTTCCAGACCCCGTGGCAATTCACTAACGAACGTTGCGTGTGTTATTCAGATGGTCGCATGGCAAAGAGCAAATTTTTTTTATTATTTTGAAAGTCTGCCCCTATGCATAATAATTTTAATTCAAAAATACACACACAGGTTTTCTTCATGTATGAAGTCTAGTAGAGAACGTTGGTGTGGTCTACGAAGCCAGCGGTCAAAGTCGAGCCTTCAATCAGGACTGAGACCTGTTGCACGGAGGTGACGGCGACGACCTAATTGTAGACCAGTGCAGGTCCACAGTAAGGATGAGGCAGTTAGATCTTGAATTGGTGCGTCACAAAATGGGCATGATGTGCCATATGGGCCTTGGTACTTTTGCGACCAAAAGGGTGGTCACGGATGGGGTAAGCGCAACCTTAACACGAAGCCTTCGCAACGTAACCTCCTCTCGGCGGGTTGAACCACCAGAGAAGTCTGTTCCACACGGGCATCTATAAGAGCTCGTGTCGCATGTCGGTGGCTTTCTCTTTCGCGAAGCGTTTGTCGTTGAGCATCCTCAAAAAAAAAACGGGAGCAGGTGTGGTGTAACTTGAGAGTGGGTTGTCATCTCTTTGATAATACCGATGTCTGTGCTTTAACATGAGTGCTGACGTTATGTCAGTCAATAAGTTAAGCTGTGTAGCCACCGGTAGACGCCCATGTGACGGAGGTCTGTGGTCAGTTGATCCTCTCGTAATACTTGCGTCGAAGCCACAGAAATTAGCTTACGCTTAAACATTACGCTTCCAGTAATCGACATCACGGACTTTTACGAGCATAACCATTTCTAGTGCTGGTAGTCTTTAAGTTAGCAGTGGCATCGTTGCCGTTGTCACATTTGAATGATTTCTGGATACGGGAATACGCTTAGAATTTCTACATTTCTTTACTGAGTACAATGTCCATGCGCCTCGTAACGTTATGTTCCTTCTAATAGTGTCACGCAGAGAACTTCTTGACGTATACAAGTTCGCATATCACTGAATCAACGGTGCGGAGGATCAGCCTAGCTTTTCTTGTTTTCTGGCGCTGTTATTAGTATGGAGTCATCTCGGGCTGAATTTTTTCTACGGCTTGCAGTTCTCATTAAACAAATATTTGATCAGCAGAAGTAAAGTCGGTGTAACTTGAAAATGAGTTGCAGTGCTAGCTATATAATTTTATAACAAAGCAATAAACACTACACGTGTAAACCCATGACGAAAATGTCATGCCAGATTGCCGTCAATTGTGGTTTCAATTCCGACTTCACTTTTGTAGCAGTATAATAAACATCACGTCTTTATTTCAATAATTAATCAAGCTACATTCAAGCGTTTGTAGACCCCGGATGAATTCAATAACGAACATTACGTGTGATATTCAGGTGGTCGCATCATAAAGAGCACATCTTTTTTATAATACCCATGTCTGTTCTCTAACATTAGGGCTTACGTTGGGTCAGACAATAAGTTATCCACTATAGCCATCGGTAGACGCCCGTGTAGTGGAGGTTTGTGGTCTGTCGATCTATCTCTTAATATTTGCGTAGAAGCCGCAGAAATTGGGCTTACGCTTAAGCACTACGCTTCGAGCAATATACGTCATGGACTGCTGCAAAAACAGCCATATTTAGTGCTGGTAGTCTTTACGTTAGCGGGGGCATCATTACGCCACAATAAAGAACCAGTTGTCACATTTGAGTGATTTCTAGATACAGAAATACACGTAGAATGTCTACATTTCTTTACTGAGTGCTATGTCCATTCGCCTCGTAATGTTATGCTCCTTCTAATAGTGTCACGTGAAGAACTTCTTGATGTGTACAAGTTGGCATATCACTCAATCCACGGTACGGAGGATCAGCCTAACTTTTCTTGTTTCCTGGCGCTGTTGTTGGTATTGAGTCTTCTCGGGCTGAATTTTTTCTACGGCCTGCACTTCTCATGAAACAAATTTTTTATCAGAAGGAAGTATTGTTCCCAGAGTGGTTGCGGGGCACTGCCTGAAGAAGCAATGGACCATCAAAGTTAAGAAGAAATTGACCAGACTTGAACTTCAGTGGTATCTGTGAAGTAAAACAAAGAAAGCAAAGTCGTTAGTGGAAGCAAGAGGAAGAAAATTATCTAACGCGCTGATCTCTATGAGAAGTTATGTGTGCCTGTTATGTATGCATGAAGCGTTCGCCTGAAGCACGAACGCTTCATGCGGGAGTAACAAATTTCTCGTAACTTCAAACTAGCTTTCTTGAAAAAAAAACCTGTAGTTTTTTTCTTTGCCACTTTTAACCCCGTTTTAATTGAAGCAAGCTCGAGCAGTTAAAGAAGACGACAGAATTCATTGTTTTTTTATATATGCCTATCCCCCTGAGTGGGTAAGAGCCACAACAAAGGATCAAGAAAGCAAGCAAACAAGCAAGTGCTCATTGATAGGTTGCGCTACGCTTTATTAGGCAATGCCCCAGTATGGGTATGTGCCATATTATCGCGAAATCAAATCAAATCAAATAACGTCCTGAAGAGCAGCTTCTTTTGGTTGAGTGTGGTCTTGTAACATAATTTGTTGCAGCTTGCGACAAGAGCCTTTGTGAAGTTGACGTTTGCCGCAGGCAATCAGAGCGACTCTGCGGTACTTCAAAAAAATGTCAAGTCGAAGATGACTCAGCCGTGGAACTTCCTGAATATTTGACTACACGTGAGCTTCCAAATCTCATTCTGAATGAAGCTTCCATGTCTTCAGAGGAACTTTTGATGATTGATCTGGTAAAGATCAACCTTCCTGTAAATAAGTTCAACGAGCTGGTGCTGGCCCTGCTAAAAAGAAATTTTGCGATCTGTGCAGCGTCGCCTGACCAGTTGGCGACAGTGCGAGGAGCCAATTTGAGCAGCAGTGAGTCTCGCAGCAAAACACTGTTATTGGGACTCTCGTTGCACAGATGACGAAATGAGCAAAGCAATCATTACGACTCATGCTGCAATATATGTTCAACAACGCGAACGCGTGTGAGTTATGCATCCAGAGGGATGCATAACTCACATGAAAGTTGCTTTGGAAACTTTCAACAAGAATCCAGTTGAGCAGTGGTATAAGACAATATTATACCATTTCAAAAGAGCCCCAGTCAAACTTTTTTGCGCAAGGTCGAAAAACGCTGCCGATTGGTTGTGAGGCTCCCTAAAACACTCGAGCCAAATATTCTAGCGCAGCATGCCTCCTGGAATTTACATTAAATTACTGAAGCCAGCTTCCTGTGGCAGCCATGACCGGTCCACGGGTCCTCACGCGATTGCACTAAATAGCCGCGGTTTCCAAAAACAAAAAACGGCAAAAGTCGTCAAGACCACGAGGCGTGCTTGACGTATATTCTTGCCCCGGGCCACCCCTACATGCTTAGCTTCCAGCGCTTTCTTCGGGACTACAAAAGAAAGAAAATTGTCCAATACCGTGTACAGTTGGAATAGATGGTATGCGAAGCACGAATGGGAAAGGTTAATATGCCACTTTAAAATCGGAAAACGTTACCAGGTGGAGGTAAATGATACCGTACAGGACTTCCGTGTCATGATTATCATGCTTGGATGTGTCGTTTACTTTCGTCATCTATTCACGACACGTGATACAAAATTTAGTATACGTGGAGCTAGCGAAACGACCGCGAGCACGTCATGAGCGTGGTGTCTTACCATGTTTTTAGATGACACACGTGTTAAGGTTATTATGTTTGCACCAGTCATATACTTTCCTCATCCACTGACATCATGTAACACCAAATTCGGTATATGTGGAGCTAGCAAAACAGCCACGAGTGCACCATGAAGGGCCCAATATACTGCACTGTAGCATTGACGTGCGCGAACGCTGGGCACAACGGCGCTACGTTAGCAAAACGCTAGCACTATAAGACGCCAGGCGCGACCAGTGTGACCAGCGTCGGTCGGCGCGGCCCGACAGCAACTGGCGCGAAAGGCGACATGCTGCATTTCGCGCCGATGCTTTACCCAGGCAACACTGCGTCTCCCTCTTATCGTGACAGAGGGACGCCGGACGCGCTGAAACGCGCATGAGTCAAAGCAACGCAGCGCGGTACACGTCTGCGAGTATATGGCAGGACCGGTGCCTGGCGTGGCAACGCAGGCGTGACCCGACGAAATGAACGCCGGCGAGCAAGGGCACCTCGTCACGTGGAAATTTATTGGCGCCTTGACTGTGGCATGTGCTCATGTTCTCGCATGACACGCATCTCATGATTATCATGTTCGCACCAGTCACATACCTTCGTCATCCATTGACGTCTCGTAATACCGAATTGGACTTATGTAAAGCTATCAAAACTGCCGCGAGCGCATCATGAGTGCGGCATGTAGCCTTGTGGTTACATGACACGCATGTCGTGATTATTATGTTAGTATGTGTCATTTACCTATGTCGTCCGTTCGCGTTGCGTAATACCGAGTTTAGCACGTGTGAAGCTACCGAAACGGCCGCGAGTGCATCATGAGCGTAGCATGTAGTCATGTTGTTGCATGACACGCAATTCCATGTTTATCATGTTTGAACCAGTATCATACCTTCGTCAACCATTCAAATCCCGTAATACCAAATTTGGTATGAGTGAAGCTGGAGAAACAGCCGCCAGCGCATCATGGGTGTGGCATGTTTTCACGCTGTTATATGACACGCATTTCATGATTATAATGTTTGCACCAGTCACATACCTTTGTCATCGATTCACGTAGCGCATTACTGAATTTGGTATACATGACGCTAACGATACGCCCGCGAATGCATCATGAGCATGGCATGTAGTCATGTTGTTACATGACACGCATGTCATGATTTTCTTGTTGGTTCCGTGGCTTGTGTTCGCCATGCAATCATGCCACATCATGCCAGTTTTGCAACATGCCATGTAAATGAAACCACTTCAAGAGCTGCAGGATCATGAAATGTAAATCATGACATCCATGTCATGATTTTCATGTTATGACTAGTCGAATATGTGCTTCATACAGTCATGTTATGCCTTACCAAGTTTGGTATCGATACCATTATCGAAACAGCTTGGAGAGCTAAAAGCCGTAGGCGGATAGATAGATAGATAGATAGATAGATAGATAGATAGATAGATAGATAGATAGATAGATAGATAGATAGATATGCGCGAAATCCCCGAAGTTCGCTAAGAAAAGCTCCGCATTTGAAAGCAAGTGCAGCGTACGACAAATCTTTGCAGCTCCGATCGTGCCGGACGCGCCTTTACATTCCTGCACCATTCCAGCCGGTAACTGTAGCGACACGGCGAGTCATGGCGCAAACTAATACGAGTAGCCGCGTGCTAGATGCTTTTTTTTAAGTGTGAATACACTTTATAAGCGACCCCAAACCATCCACCGCCGTCGGCGGCGTCCGCAGTCTTCTCTCTATCTTTAAAAGAAAGAGGACTTGGCGGGCCGCAGCGCGACGCTCTACCGAATAAGCCACGGACGCGACGCTGATATCGGTGTCAGTAACGCGCCTTATATCTTTAACGCCGCTGCGCGCGTCCCCCTCCCCCTTCGCTCGCACCTCCGCTCTCCTCGCTCATAGCATCACCCCGTGTATTCGCACTTAACCATGTTCACCCTCGGGGAAATGCTTGGGAGTTTTAAGGGTGAATACACTTTATAAGCGACCCCAAACCATCCACCGCCGTCGGCGGCGTCCGCAGTCTTCTCTCTATCTTTATAAGAAATAGGACTTGGCGGGCCGCAGCGCGACGCTCTACCGAATAAGCCACGGACGCGACGCTGATATCGGTGTCAGTAACGTGCGTTATACCCCCTCCCCCTTCGCTCGCTCCTCCGCTCTCCTCGCTCGCTGCAGCTGCGCGCGCACCCCTCTCTCGCGCGCGCCCGCCTTCTCTCTCAGTCTCCCGTCGAGAGCGTGTCGTGCGATGGATGTCCCGGAGGCAACGCTGCCATCAACAACGAATGTAGTACAACCGAATGCCAGCACTGCACCCGTCGTTGGATGTGACGGTACCGCGGTGGTTTCGCCGACGTTGGAAGACAAGGCGGCGCTGCGAAGGGCTCGTGAGACCGAACGTAAGCGGGCGAAGCGTGCAGCGGATGCCGAACTGCGTGCTCGCGAGGCCGAGGACAAGCGGGCGAAGCGTGCAGAGGATGCCGAACTTCGCGCTCGCGAGGCCGAGGACAAGCGGGCGAAGCGTGCAGAGGATGCCGAACTTCGCGCTCGCGAGGCCGAGGACAAGCGGGCGAAGCGTGCAGAGGATGCCGAACTTCGCGCTCGCGAGGCCGAGGACAAGCGGGCGAAGCGTGCAGAGGATGCCGAACTGCCTGCTCGCGAGGCCGAGTGCAAGCGGGCGAAGCGTGCAGCGGATGCCGAACTGCCTGCTCGCGAGGCCGAGGACAAGCGGGCGAAGCGTGCAGAGGATGCCGAACTGCCTGCTCGCGAGGCCGAGGACAAGCGGGCGAAGCGTGCAGAGGATGCCGAACTGCCTGCTCGCGAGGCCGAGGAGAAGCGGGCGAAGCGTGCAGAGGATGCCGAACTTCGCGCTCGCGAGGCCGAGGACAAGCGGGCGAAGCGTGCAGAGGATGCCGAACTGCGTGCTCGCGAGGCCGAGGAGAAGCGGGCGAAGCGTGCAGAGGATGCCGAACTTCGCGCTCGCGAGGCCGAGGACAAGCGGGCGAAGCGTGCAGAGGATGCCGAACTGCGTGCTCGCGAGGCCGAGGACAAGCGGGCGAAGCGTGCAGAGGATGCCGAACTTCGCGCTCGCGAGGCCGAGGACAAGCGGGCGAAGCGTGCAGAGGATGCCGAACTTCGCGCTCGCGAGGCCGAGGACAAGCGGGCGAAGCGTGCAGAGGATGCCGAACTGCCTGCTCGCGAGGCCGAGTGCAAGCGGGCGAAGCGTGCAGCGGATGCCGAACTGCCTGCTCGCGAGGCCGAGGAGAAGCGGGCGAAGCGTGCAGAGGATGCCGAACTTCGCGCTCGCGAGGCCGAGGACAAGCGGGCGAAGCGTGCAGAGGATGCCGAACTGCGTGCTCGCGAGGCCGAGGACAAGCGGGCGAAGCGTGCAGAGGATGCCGAACTTCGCGCTCGCGAGGCCGAGGACAAGCGGGCGAAGCGTGCTGCGGATGGTGAACTGCGCGCTCGCGAGGCCGAGATGAGGCGTCAGCATCGAGCCGCGAACGCGGCCCAAGAAGCGGAACGACTACGCAAGCGTCAGGCGGAGAAGGGCGATGAAGGCCGGCGTCAAGACGCCGCTCGCAATCGTCAACGGCGAGGGGGCGTTCCCGAAGCCGTTCCAGCCAGTGAACGTGCCGCGCGGGAGAGGGTGCGAGCCCTGGACTTTGCTCGTCCGGACGCGTCGTGAAGTGTAAATAAATAATACTTCGTATATAATGTATCTGTGTGCAAATGCTTCATGACAAATAACACTTAAATTTATTAATTACACTTTAATCATCATCATCAGTAATAAAACTCCCAAGCATTTCCCCGAGGGTGAACATGGTTAAGTGCGAATGCACGGGCTGATGCTATGAGGGGGAGTAAAGTTAAAATCCGTTGGCATTCGCCAGTGAGTTAACGTAAACCCCCCGTGTGATCAAATTGCGATTCCCAGGAACCATTACACCATAAAGGCACCATAGTGTGATTAATAAATATAATAGTGGGAATTAATAAATACCCCTCATAGCATCACCCCGTGCATTCGCACTTAACCATGTTCACCCTCGGAGAAATGCTTGGGAATTTTTTTTTACGAACGCGCGCGGCCTAAGCGCCAAATCACGCAAACATCCCTACAGACGCTTTCGTCCCTAGCGGTGCGCCGACGCCAATAGTCAGCGCTTCCTCTGTTTTGGTCAACGTTGATTTTGGTGTTGTGCTGCGGTGTGTATGGATTGCGGTATTACTAATTCTCGTGAATCTGGTGATGCGGGAGTACTGGCTTATTCTAGGCAGACCGATCCTTTGAATGGGGGAGATCGAGTGCCGTGGCTGTTTCGTGCAAGCATTGAATGACCGACATCCCACGTCGATGTGATATGCTCAAGTGCTGGCTGTCTTGCATGGGCGGTGCGGTGGTTTGTTTGACAAATTTATTTACCTGCACATTTGATGATGCATTAGTTGGCTAGTTCGTGCTAGCCGTAGCGTTGAATTACTCCCGCGTCGGCGTGATCATGCACAAATGCCGGGTGTTTTGTGCAGACATTACTTCTGAATGAGATCTAGGTCTCTGACGCACTGTACTGACAACACCACTGTCACACGGGTTCTTGTTTGTTATGCCGTGCCCTTTTATATAACAGCTAGATAACGGCTGCACCGTATTTGATCCAATTAGCTCGGGCCGATAGCGATGAGCAGTCACTCGAATAATTTACATCGTGATCGACAGGTCTGTCGCTGCTGCGCGGTATACTGCAGGGGCTGGATCGATTTTGGTGCAAATTCCTTAGCTGATTGCAATCAAAAGTGCCCGTGTGACACCAGTATGATCACATGTGCGCATGCCCAAACCCTTTCTGTGTGCTCTTGTGGTCTCTGCCTCCTTGGCTGCTGGTTGCATCAGTAGACGATCACGCAAAAAAAGCAGCTACATATACAAAGCTGTAACAAAATTATGCAGAAAAGGTGCATCATACTGGGTAGGTCTGTAATAATGGGACGTCCGCAAATAAGCGCATGTACAGAAAAGAACTGGAAGCTGGGCCAGTTGGTGACAGTACTTGCACATATTTTAACATAACGCACGGCTACGTGGGCACATTTGTCCCTTCTTCTCTAGTGTCCGCGTAGAGCTGTGCTGTGTTGAAAAACGTTCATGTACATGTTCGGTCTTGCTAAATGAAATATGACAGGGAAAATCGAAGGACTTATCTTTCTTTAGAAAGTGCAATGTCCCTTTGTACTTCCTAAAAGGGAATGTAAAGGCGCTTACCAGACGGGCTCTAAAATGTTTTGCTGTGGTTAACTTTTGAGACAATAGCTGCTTCAGTGAATTCATTCCGTGGTTACTCGGAAAAGTGTTGCTGGCACCCTTCAGGCCATGGAACACCACTAGAATTGTTTCTGTTCACTTTGTTGTCGGTTCCGTTGCTTATGATGATTAAATATGTCCTAGCATTTTGTAACGCATGGCCCTTCGAAACACCCACTCGTTCACCAATTTACATGATTTGGCACATAACACGATTCTACGCTTTTACCACGCGAATTATAATGCGTTAAGAAGACTCTTCTAGTAATAGACATTCATGTCGTGCTTTTTTTAATAGTTTTCTACAAGTATTTTGGCTGTGTGGTAAAACACCTGCTTGCCACAAAGACAGCCGGGGCTTACTCGGACCAGAAAATTTTTGTTACTGATTTTATTGGCATAATAAGGTTTTTGGTTACAGACAATTTTTCGCTCACAACTAACGACGCCAACGCTGACAACAACGGTGGTGCATTCACCTGAATTTCTGCAAAAGAAGCTTTTAACACAATCCATTTAAAACAGAATACAGTGGATGGAAGAAAAGAGGTGTGGCCTGCGTGCTGGTGAGAAAAGGATTACCGAGCTCGTGCATGAAGCACCGACAGGCTCTTTGTTGTGAACACAGCAAGCCCACAAAAAACCTACTGACTATGTGGACCCCCATAGCACCGTCGAATCAGCTTCTATAGCTAGTGTTTTTATATATCATCACAGGAGGGATGAAAACAAGATTGGAAAGAGTGGTGGAAGCATATTTGAGGAAGAAGACGACAGAACTCATTTAAGGGGGACTGGCAGCAAGCAGGAGAAAATAGACAAGGGTATAGACATGGCGGTCTGAAGAATGCTGTCTTTTTATTATGTACAGCCCTCTAACATTAATGGTTCATTCGTTACCGTCAGCAATTGGATCAGCTCCAAGCGTATTGTCAAGAGCAACAGCTTTGACACGCTGCGCAAGTTTATACGCTAACTCAAGTCCAAACTCTCCCGACTACAGTGAACATACATCGCGTTATTAAGTCAAGCCTACCGATATTAGGAACAGCGGTCACGTTTACTTATTTGCAAAAAACCTGACACATGCGAACCAATAGTTCCAATAAAACAAATTCGCACAGCCGTCTCTCGTTGGTGTTTCGCTAAGTGGTGGTACCATAGTTCACGAAACTTTATGAGGCAGCACGGTTTGATACACAAAAACAGAACAACTGAATTCATGTGAGCACAACTATCGCCAACAATGAGCAAACCTACAGGCATCGCATTATAAAACGGCAACTGCCGAGGTCTTCGATACGCTTCCGCAGGCTGATAATAAGAATGGCGCACTACTTGGAGGCGTCAAGCTTCACACGTGACTCAAAACACCAGCAACACTTTCATACAGTGTACTTGAATGAAAATAACGTTAGAAAATAAGCAATGAAAAGGACAAACGATTCCTTGTTTTTTATAGTTTAGTTATGTACCAGCCAGACCATATGAACATACTACTATTTTCGATACATTTTAGTTTCAATGTCACGCATCGATAAATCTTTGAGTGAAGTATTGTAATGACGGGTTTTCTGGCAGCTTGCGTGTTGACACATGCTCGATTCTGAACTTCCTTAACGAAGATTCCATAATTTCTCACGCTGTATTTTGCGCACCAAGATATTGTTTTCTTACGTTTGACTTCTCTCCCACCTTCCCATTTTTGACCCTTCTCATATTATGTTTATTATTGTAGTTATGTCCTTGACATGAATTTATATAGTGTTGTTTGAAGTCTTTTGGCAAAAACCATTTGAATTTAGGAGTGTTGTGGGTGTTATAGGTCCGGCTAAGCATGAAAATGTAGTGGCACTTCTGTAGGCTGGTGTTTATTACGTACCATTGTTCCTGAGCAGGTCTCTAATCTAACGTGCTGAAGCAGACACGCGAGAGTTGCCTTCACTTGAAGGAAGCCGAGGCGCATGCCGGCGCAGTTACGTGGACCGGCACCGAAAGGCATGTAAGTGAATGGCCTAATGGAATCCTTGTTTTCTGGCATGAACCTGTGGGCAGGTGTAAAGTACAACTGATTAACGTGCGTCTTTGTGTGAGCTGGTACTGAAGACGTTTCTAATTGTGTGGTAATAAAACACGAAAGGACAAAAAGAAAGCTGACACACGCAAGCGCTCCCTTTCAACTGATTTATAATTAGGAAAGAAAACATATATGCAATGAAAACTGCGCTGTGCTTAAGAACATCGGACAGCCAACGTGCATGAACTATAACAGATGACGAAATTTAAAATAAATGAAAACCAGAAAGTACTATCCTACGCAGCTTTCGTATAAGAAAGATAACCAACTTCCTTTTTGTGCAATACCCACGATGTTGCAATTTCCTTTAATGTACTCTAAAGCAGCATAATTACGTTAAAAACAGAAGGCGCTCTTATAGGGCGAATTGATGTAATTAAAAATGACGTCACCAGTTAACAAACTACGTTATAACTACGGAACAGATAAAAATACAGTGACGTGCGCATATACTACGAATAATAATACGTGCACATTCATGTTTGTGTGTGCTTGTGTGTGTGTGCACGCGCGTGCGTGTGCATGTGTGTGTGTGTGCGTGTGTGTGTGTGTGTACGTGTGTGTGTGCACGTGTGTGTGTGTGCTTGTTTGCATGTGTGTGTGCGTGCGTGTTTGTGTGTGTGTATGCATATGTGTGCACGTGTGTGCGCGCGCGTGCGTGTGCATGTGTGTGTGTGTGTGTGTGTGTGTGTGTGTGTGTGTGTGTGTGTGTGTGTGTGTGTGTGTGTGTGTGTGTGTGTGTGTGTGTGTGTGTGTGTGTGTGTGTGTGTGTGTCGCGATGACGACGCACCGGTCTGGATTGAAACTTTCTGGTTCAGGAAAATATTCCGGGTCGTAGTGAATTCCAGCGACAGGAATCTCCACACACATGCCTGGCTTGAAGTGGATGCCCGCCACCGTAGTTTCCTCTGTACAGACCCTCAGGAGTCTGCAGCAGGATGTTGGAAAAATGATTACCGAATGCAAGAGATCTTCTTATGAATCATTTTGTCATATAGGTTTTTCGAAGGCATTTATAGGTATGATATGCTTCTTTATTGCGCGTAAGTTTAGGAGTGGGAAACAGGAGCATCAAAAGAATAAGAATGATGACAAAAACGACAGTCACTGCGGTCCTATTTTGCTCTAATATACAAGTTCAGTACAGGTGCTCTTCAAGTAATACGGGGAACATGAGCGTTGGCTGAGCAACGCAAAAATGAACGCCAGCGCGCTCCTCAAAAGAGGTGGTTATCTATATCTACACGGACATGACAACACTGCCTTTTGGCACATAACCGAATAAAAATAAAGAACCACTTTTTTTTTGGTAGAGCAGGCTGGCATTCACTTTTGCGGAGCTTGGCCACAGCTAGCGTGCTCCATATAATTTTTGAAGCACCTCAACAGCTGCTTTGCTATGTCACTTTATTTCATTACTTTCCTCCGCTTCAATTCATTGAAAGCTACTTGATATTATAAAATGACCGACTATGATCCACTACTGCGAGTAAAGTGTTGTCGAACCTTAAAACTGTGACACACATCCAAGCAAGTACTGTTGAGAAGTTCTTGCTACACGTCTGCAACACGATTCCTGCAACATGTTTTCCAATAGCCGTCCCGAAGAAAGCAACGCAGTGAGAGAGAAAGAGGTTGAGGAAAGGAAAATATGCAACTTCTGCAGCCCCAGCTGGGAGAACGGCTCTGCAGGGAGGGATTTCCCAGTGTAGGGTATCCCCTACTGGGCTCAGCTCTGGTGAACTTCCGCTCCTTTCGCTTCTCTCTCTCTCACTCTCTCTCTCACCAAGCGATCTCACTCCTTGGCCCACGCATCGTCATTCACTTTGGGGACATTCCGTGTTTAAAACGCACACCAATTTCTGCCTTGATTTGTGGGGTTTCATGTCCCAAAACCACCATATGATTATAAGAGACGCCGTAGAGGAGGACTCCGGAAATGTCGACCACCTGGGGTTCTTCAACTTGCACTTAAATCTGAGCACACGAGCCTACAGCATTTTCGTCTCCATGGAAAATGCAATCACACCACTTTCTTACTTATTCACATGCGTGAGTGGTCGATGACACGAATGATTTTTAGTAACACTGACCCATGTCACTGCTTCGACCACTATATAATCTTCATTAACCGCGGGGATATGCCGTGATTATCGGCAATAACGTCAAAGAAGTTTCAGAACGTTTATTGTCCGCTGTGTATTATAGCACATTGCGAGCAATGCCTACGATTGCCGTGAAAATTGGGCAAGATTTGGTTTATTTAGCTGACTGATAATTTATTGCGAATTCTAAGCTGCGTGCTGCGCTATGATATTTGGCTTGCGTGTTCTCGGGAGCCTGGACTACCGATCGGCCGCACTTTATTACCAAGCTCGAAAAGCGTTGCGGCGCTCCTTTGAGATACCACTCGCACCTGTGCAGCTGTACACTTTGCTAGTGCTGTGATTTGGGTGCACGTTAAAGAACCCCAGGTGGTCAAAATTTCCGGAGCCCTCCACTACGGCGTCTCTCATAATCATATGGTGGTTTTGGGACGTTAAACCCCACAAATCAATCAACTTTGCTAGTGCTGTTGCTGATAATGAAGATTATTTGTGCCCATGTGCTAAGTTTTTGGGTGAACCTTTAAAACACCCCCTCGTATGGGTGAACCTTTAAACACCTGGTGCGTTTGTACGCTTCCACTGCGTATCATTGCATGCGTTACAAAGACTCCTGCCACTGCATGTCATTCATATAGAGTCTGTTTCTCAGTCAGTGTCAAGCGATAGTGTGCTCTGCATCAAAATAGAAATGAAATAAGCAAGACGTGCTTATGCGGTAGAACGCCTTCTTGTCACACAGATTTGTTTTATGATTTGAGCCGACGTTTTCTAAATCTGAAGGATTTTTCTGCTTGATCTATCTATCTATCTATCTATCTATCTATCTATCTATCTATCTATCTATCTATCTATCTATCTAATTATCTATCTATTTATCTATCTATGTATCTATCTATCTATCTATCTATCTAACAAACTAACTATCTATCTATCTATGTATCTATCTATCTATCTATCCATCTATCTATCTATCTATCTATGTATCTATCTACCTCTCTATCTATCTATCTATCTATCTATCTATCTATCTATCTATCTATCTATCTATCTATCTATCTATCTATCTGCTGACGTTTGGTACTTTCGTGATCACACCAAGAGCTTCGGCTAAACTAAAATTGTTATTTGAAGGTAAGATAGTCTGATGAATACAACTTGCCGGTTATGACACGAATAATTTAACAATCCTATCACGCACGATGTCAAACACTCTCTACCAGTCAGTGGCACATACCTGCTGGTTAGTATTTGCTACTGGTATGCGGGTCTGAGCCACAGGTGATTGGCAGTTTATGTATACGCTGGAACGGGGACAACAAAAGTGGGCAATTTTAACCCGGGAGCGTTAAAAAAAACTGACATCGGCAGCGTTTATCCGATTAATCCAAAGAATAAATGTCGGGGTCCCAGCAGGTATCAAAGCGCAGTATTCTGCGTGGTAATCAATTATTCTACCGCAGAGCCACGCCAGGTCTCGGAACTACTTTTCAAATAGACCCTAATCTTCGTGAAACGTATCTTGTGGTTGCAAGGTTGGCTATCAAATTTTATAAACACTAAATATGTGCTCCTGTGATACAACAGTCACGTCGGGTCAATGTCAGATGTCAGGTGCCATTCGCTGAAGTTGATTTATGTACAGGGCTACCATCCTCGCGGGCACCAGGGCTCCACATCAGCTTGCCGTTTTGGATGTTGCTAATATCCGTGTAACTGTTGGCACCATTACGCAAGTGTAGACGACTAGTTGTATAAAACATATGCAGCTAATTAACGTATGTCTCTGGCCTTGCCGCGGTGGTCTAGTGGCTAAGGAACTCGGCTGCTTACCCGCAGGTCGCGGGATCAAATCTCGGCTAATCATAGCGTAGTGTTGGGACGTTAAACCCCACAAATCAATCAAATTAATGTATGTTTCTGCGTGAATTGTACATATATATAGCGCCACTTTGTAATGTTTCTCACAAGAAAAAAATTACAACATAGTCACTTTCCATACGCATGTTTCGCATAACGTCGATTCCAAAGGTGCGTCGGATGTGCAGACTTTTCTGTCATTCATTTGCATCTTTCTCGATTTTTCACTCGCAACAAATGACACCGACACCAGAATATCTGCAACACGAGCTCTTTAAGGCTACTGCGTCAATATGAACCAGCTGTATGGCATGCGCTAAGCATGCACTGAAAGAATAAATCACGCTTTATAACTAAATAGGCACGCCCCGCCGCGGTGGTCTAGTGGCTAAGGTACTCGCCTGGTGACCCGCAGGTCGCGGGATCGAAGCCTGGCTGCGGCGGCTGTATTTTTGGTGGAGACGAAAATGCTGAGCCCCGTGTGCTCAGATTTGAGTGCACGTTAAACAACCCTAGGTGGTCGAAATTTCCGGAGCCCTCCACTACGGCGTCTCATAATCATGTGGTGGCTTTGGGACGCTGAACCCCACATATGAATCGATCAGTCAATCAATTAAATGGGCAGGCGTGTAATCGTGACTGAGCGATCAGGTTTTTGATTCGCTCTTTACGCTACACAAGTATGTATCGAGGTCTTACAGAACAGTAGCAGTGAGATCTTCCCATATTCTTTTGTTATTCGTATTTTATTGCTCTGTAGCATGGCATATACGCAGGCACAGCTTATCATATTTACGTGTTTTCTTCTCTTCGCGTGGTGAAGTCGTGAAACCATGCAAGCACGCTGACTGAGATGATAATGACGACGCTTACATTGAATCGGGAATGCAAAGTCTCATGGCCTCCTTGATGCAAGCGTCAAGATACTGCACCTCCTGCAGAGAATTGTATGTGACTCCATCCTGAAAGCAAGAGAGATGCCAGTTAGTGTATACCTGTCTATGTTCCATAGATGGCAGGTCTTAAGCCATATTAGCTTGCCCACACTTCCTATAGTTTTAACGCGATAGCGATATAAAGAGTTCGTTTCGCAGATATTGCTGCGTTGGTGTCGGCATCGTGAGTCGTGAGTGAAAAATGGTAATCTTTGCGTGACTGAAAAATGGAGGAAGATAGAAATAAAATAAATATTTAAAAAATTTGAGGTCTAAGTGGCGGATTGATTTCGGGTCGTTTGTGTGGCAAGCAGGTGTTGTCCCACATAGGCACGCCTCTATTGTGAATGCAGTGAAAAATAACTTCCTCTTTTTGGAAATGTAGTGAAAGTAACTTCTATGCTTTAGAAACGCGCGCGTTCTGTGTACATTATCCACAATACAACATGAAATATTTCCGCAATAATTCGTCCAACAAGCGTACATGGCCACTGGGCGTCGGAACATGGGATTATCATGGCGACTTTTTAGCTCAAAGGCAGACACCCACTACAAAAGGCACTCACATTACTACACCCTTAAGTCCACGTTGTTTGTGCTTAGCGATTTCGAAAGATATCATACACTAAGTGTTTGAAGCACACCCTAAGAACCGAATGTCGCTATCGCGTTCATCTCTTAAATTCGAAGCTTAATAGTCTCCCAATTTTGTTGTTTCTGTGTTTCTTTTTCTTCCGCTTTATCGTTTCTCGTTCTTTCAGCCATAGCAATGCTGATATATTGTCCCCATAAATACTTGTTCTTCCATCGTGCCTGCATGCATAGCCATGTGGTAACGACAGTTGTCTTCTCACAGCGTGTGCCTGGGTTCGAAGCCCACGTCACGGAGAAATTTATATTGCATTCATTTGTTGCAATCCCCAACCCTACTTCTCCTCTCTTCCACCTTTCTTTTCCCTTGCGCGTTGCTAGGCGACGCATAGTGACCTCATTGCTACGCGAGGTTTTCGTGCGAACGCTAGACGGCCCAACCACCATCTAAAATGCTTCACTGTTAAAACTGCTCTGGCTCTGATATTTTAGCTGTGCGACATCAAGGTTCTATTCATTCCATACCTTTGCGAGTGCCTTGTCTATCTCCGCAATGACTTTGTCTTGACTTTCAGGATTAAGGGCCAGGTAGTAAGCGGTAACGGTGAGGGCGTTAGACACACTGTCCACTCCAGCCATGAAGAACAATATAATTTGGGCGGTCATTTCGTCCAGCGACATTTCTGAAAAGCATGTTGACAACCTAACAATAAATGTGCCCCTGTCCCCAGTACAGCAGTGCGCCTGTCATTCACCTGTGGAGCAAATCAGTTATTGGCGATTTCCGTTCGAACCATAAGCACTTTTTTGCTCATAATGCAAATACTACGCTTATTATGAATTGAAAAATTCTTGTTAAAATGTTAGGTTTGGTTGAGAAGTGAAGTCGGAGTCTTTATGAAATTGGACAGAAAGTGAAAATTTTTGACCGAAAACAACCGAAATGAGCATGTGCGTTCACGTCTACATCATATCCCTGAAATACGTGAAAAATCCTGACTTCACGTAAATAAACGACTAAAATTAGTGAGAAATTTATTAAAACTGTGCCTGAGTGGGACAATGGCGGTTGTTGGTGGAGCTTACATTTATTCTTAGGCTGTAACTGACTGTAGGACCTCGGCTTCTCATCGAGCCATCTGATGTGACGTGATGGCCCTTGCAGTGAAGTGCCCACCAACAGTCAAGAACAACAGTGACAACAAGGCTAGCAATGCGTCAACATTGATTAAAATTAACAAATCTCTAAAATAATGTATTTACCGGAAAGAACAAAAACAAATCGCAATAATTTGCTTTAAATCATTAAAATGTATCAGAAGCATAGGCCTGACTCCGGTGGAGTGCGAGAGATAGCGCCACCACTACGCCGAGCGACTGAATGTCCCTCCCCGTGCGCCACCTCGGCGTCGCTACGTGACTATCTCTGCTGGGGAATACAACTTCACAAAACTCGCTGAAGACTACTTCTCACGTGCCGTGAAGAGCAGGAACACTCCACAACGCTGGAAAAGTTGCGCACATATCGCAAAACGAGGTTGTGAATCCGAGCAAGATCCTACTCAACCTACGCAAACTCCATCTGCTTACCTCAAACACTGGCGTCATTGACGCTCTCATTCACAGGGCATTGGGAACTTTACTAATGAGAATCACTAAGAGCCCGTTCAACAGACTTCCTCAGGTTTTATAGTAGAAGAAGCGTCATACTTTTCTGGGTATTTTTTTATTCGCATGCAGCAAGCACGTGTGCTTTATCAATACTACACAACACAAAAGTGGAAGTGCACAATGCTGTACGAGTCAAATCGCACAATCTGCCACTCACTAATGACGAATACCCAAGTAAAGACACGAGTGCCAGTATAATGTCGTGCTTCAGCACGACCTAATTAAAAAAAAAGAGTATCCAAGTGAAACGAATGGCTAGAAAGACAAGATATATCTAGAGAGAGGAAAAAATATAGAACGTGAGGTAAATGCTGGCGATCAGCAAAAATAATATCTGATTTGATGGTTGAAGGGATAAAGACAGGTCAAAACCAATTGAGGGATTGTGCACGAACCACTTTCACATTCCGTTTAGAAAAACACTAGTTTCATCAACTCTAACGAGGAAACGTTCTTGAGAAATATCAGTAAAAAAACAAAACCCGAAGTTTCATTTGTTTACCTTGAAAACAAAAAAAAACACTTATACAGTAGTAAACTTGAGCCGGATTGCAATGGTCATAAATTATACAAAGAAAAGGTAATTATTTAGAACATATGGCTGCAACACGTCGCAGGGTTTAGCACACTTCGAGAGGGTTACCACAGCTCTTCGGTGGCCTTGAGAGACATCGACCTGGAGAAGAAAGTGCTAGCAGGACAATAAGCGATGGTCGTGATTTTAACAAACTGGGACTTCCGAAGCCACTTGCTGCTTTTTGTACTATAGCATGTCTCCTTCGTTCCGCAAACAGTGCAGCGTGACCTATCTTGAGACTAGCAAAACTTACTCTTTATTTCATATCTGTCGGACTTTCTCGCTGAGTCATATTCCCAGTTGTAGTCGGCATTCATAAAAACCTGAAGGAAGTCGTCTTCTTCCTGCAAACAGATAAGTTAGGAACTTGAGGGACCGTGCCAAAATGTCCAGTGATACTACGACAGGAAAGATAAACTTCGTGTATCGCAGTGCAGAAATGTTTTAGGGGCACTGAAGGCAACTATTACGTCGACGTTGATTGTTGAAATAGCGCTCCAGAAACCTCGTATAGTTACTTTTGTACCAAGGAAGTGCTTGTTTTGAAATAAAATGACGCTTTAGTGGTTCGCATTGGGTTCGTGTACTTCTAATTATCCGCCTCAAGTGTAACGTGTCAAGCACTGTTGCCGTGCACAACGTTGCGTGGCTTTACTGCGCGGCCGCCTACACTAGTGGCTGCACAATGAAAGCAGTGGGAGCCACAGCAGCAACAACGGCCATTAAACGATTTTCTTCTATTGGCCTTCAGATGGCAGGCCTGCCTGGTTCAACTAGGCCCCGCTTGGTGGCACGACCTGTTATGTTTACCGAGGCAAAAATTGAACTATTGAACCACTCGTGTCCTTCCCTATAGTAACGTCCGGTGGCTCTTTTAGATGCGAAGCAGCTCTTTGACTAGCCTGTTTAACGCTGTCCCTCCATCCGCACCGCTCCCCTAGTCACAAGTGTTGTAGCAGTGCCAAGTAGCTCACGTCCTCATAGCAGTGCGCGGTGACGTTTCGCTCCCTGGGTTGCCACGCGCTTGCCGTGAGACAGCTCTCTCCCTCACTTAACCCTCTCCACTGCTCGCAACGCTCGAGCCCGCTTATTACGTGGCCATCATATCACCCGCACCACCTCTCTCTATCTGTCGGCGAGAAGAAGCGGCGAGCTCCCGAGAATCTCGCGGTGCCGACAATGTGGACAGCACGCCGCTGCTTGCCACGCGATCACGCCGACGCGTGGGGGGCGCCGTCGTGGTAATCTTCCCGCTGGTGTGCGTGTACCTTTCGCGGCCGTTGCCGACGTTGCGAGCGTTAGCGAAGCCGATCGCGTTCGCGAATGACGACGTTAACGCCGACGAGGCGTGAGCCAGAGAAGCCGAACGCGAGCGTTGGCAGTGGGAGACCAGCGACACCGACGAGTTGCCAGTGAAAAACACCGATCGCGTTCGAGAATACAGACGGCGCGCGGGTAACACCGACGAGATGCGAGCCAAGAAAGCCGAGCGCAAGCGTTTTCAACGTGTCCCTCCTCCCGTGTTTTTGAGTTTCAAACAAACGTTTACTCGAGTAAACACTACATCGAGTTTCACTTCAAACCGTTCTTTCAGCACCCATGTCAACGCCCGTTTTAACTGGGTTAACGCCATGCGCACTGCTGCTGCTTCGCATCCCATCAGGAGGTGGTCCATAGTTTCTTTTTTCGTGGATTAAACATAAATGAACAAGCAGCACTTTATTACGTCTCTTGTACGGAAAGTTCTTTATTTAGTGCTGCTAGTTCGATTACCAGTGATGAATTTTAGGCGGTACTTCTCACGTCCTTGGGATCATAGCGCAAATGTCTTACGCGTCGCACATCTGTTGTTGTGCATCTTAAATTCTCGGTAAGTAGGGCACTGCTGTAGATATTGTTGTCGTTTTAGACGTTGTCATCTATTGAGCTTTCACACTGATGTAAATTGTTATTTAACTTGAGTGTCCCTTTGAGGACACAACCCATGCAGAAGAAAAAAAAAGAAGGGGACAAGATACAGCGTCAACTTGCAACTGGCTTTATTTGAAAAGAGAGTATTTCTTTTTTTATACGCAAAGACATGTGCACAGTTGTGGTTGCGCCGGACAATGGCGAACAATGCCACATTTAGTTCATCAGATATCGGAAAATTGTATTTCTGCATTGCGCCGCTGACAGGCATGTCACTGAGCCGCACGTCTCGCTTCACATTGATAAAACTAAACGTTGATTCTAGAAAGTGTATCACATTAGCTAACGCATTCATGCAATAAGACACCAATTACCGGCTATATCATTGGAAGGGAGCACTTGCACCAAACCATATATACCAAAATGATCATATTCTTTCTATTCTCCATCCATTCATTCCATATGCTGCAAAGCGAATCGGACACTCGTCTGGCTAAGCTCCCTGCCTCTCTTTTTAACTGATCTGCGCCTGTAACTCCCTCAGTCTCCCTATCTGAAATCATAAAAGTAGGTTCTTTGCACCTGCCGTAACAGGCCTGGCTGATATTTTTATATTATGAGTGTTTCTATTGTGAACAATTATATATGAGACTTTTTATTATTTTTTGTTGAATGATAAATGCGGTAAATAAAACAAATCACAGCATATCCATGGAGTACATAGTGCTGAGTCGGGCGAAGCGTCCGTCCATTCATTCGTTCTTGCTTCCATCCGTCTGTGCGACCATTCATGTGTACATCCGTCCATCCGTGCGCCCATTCGTGTGTTCTTTCATCTGTGCGTCCATCCATGCGTCCCTCCCAGCGTTCGTCAATGAGTTTGTCCATCCATCCATCCGTCCTTCCGTCCGTTCATCTAGTGAATACTCCAGGTACCGCCATCTGGCATCTTTTCACCATATATTCAGCATATAAAAGTACCGCCATACAGCGGACATTCTAAGGACTAAACTAGAAGTGGCACTCACGCACTTTCTTATGGCCGGCGCTTCGTGTCCACTTCCCACCTTTCCCCGCCTCTAGTTCATAGCTATATACTAGTTCACTACAGGCTCCACACTGACCAGATGGAGCTGCGTTGCTCACACTGCCCCGTCTCAAAGTCTTTAACACTCGACGTTAGGGGCACGCAGAAAAAAGACGCGTGCGCGCGTCCCCATGTATCCCGGCCACTATGTGCCGGAAGATGCAGGGCGCGTAAGTATTTTCATAAGAAACAACTATCTTTTCATTTATGATTAACGTACACGGATTCCCTCCTCAATTGAAAAGGGTGCGTGCGTACCGCTCCTGCTCCTCTAGTCCAGCCGTGGAGGTGGTTACCTGCTACTGTGACTACATATATCGCGGACTCACATCCCAGCTGCGGCGGATACATTTCCGATGGAGGCGGAAATGTTGTAGGCCCGTGTGCTCAGATTTGGGTGCACGTTAAAGAACTCCAGGTGGTCGAAATCTCCGGAGCCCTCCACTACGGCGTCTCTCATAATCATATGGTGGTTTTGGGACGTTAAACCCCACATATCATATATCGCGGACTCACGACTCATGAGATTCGCCACCAAAACGTCCTTACATAGTTGCGGTAACCGTTTAGTGAGCTCCACCTTGTATTTCCTGTCGCTAAGCCTCATATTATACAGCTCATGAAGAGTCTACAAGCAATACAGCTATCTGTGAGAATGGCTATGGTTGTAGTTCGGCCGAAAAAGCGCCAAACGTGATGCAGCGTAGAAAACTTTGTTTTGTGACTTACAACTTTACCTTGTTCTTCGACATCCTGTCTTCAATTACATGTGACACAAATGCCTTGAATACATCGGTGCTTGACTTCGGAGGATAATCGGGCTGCAAACCCTTGTACAAAGTTGGCATGAGAACTGCGAATAAGTTGGAAATAAGGTTGCAATATCTCTTATTCGACCATTGGTCGATTCGGCATAAGTTGTATAGCAATAATATTTAAATATGTATATTCATATATACATGGATTGATGGATGGATGGATATGGCTGTACCCTTTAGATCGGGCGGTGGCTAGCGCCACCAAGCCGTATTACTAAATGAACCAAAAACTAGATTTATTTTTTTTCTTTAAATAGTGAGGTTGAGGATTCGTACTTTGCATTGAAGGGTTTAATTTTCACTCGTGCCTTGACTTTAGCCTCCAATCAGATAACCTCTTTCTAGTTAATTCTACCCGCTTAAAGTCTATTTTCCCCTCCCTGTCCCTCAACCCCAGTGCTTTGAAAAACTCTGCGCCATCATCCTGAACTATAGGGTGAAGCCCGTTACAGAACATTATCAAGTGTTCGTCAGTTTCTTCTTCCTCTCCACACGCACTGCATGCCATGTCTACCCCTTCGTATTTGGCCCCATATGTCTTGGTTCGCAATACTCCCGTCCTGGCCTCAAACAGTAGAGAACTACTCCGAGTATTATCACAAATCCTTTCCTTGGCAATTTCCTGCTTAAAAGTGCGATAGACCTCTAGTGCGGACTTAATCATACATAATAGGCCGATGATGACCTCTCGCGGTAGAGCGAGAAGTCACCCTTTAGATACCATGCTTTAGAAAATTGTTTTTCTGAAACGTTATGCAGACCAATCTACCACTTTCTAATACGAATTTCTGGCACATTTGCATTGCTTAGAAAGTTCGTTAGTTATTAAAAGTGGTTTAATTAAGCAAATAATTAGCATAACAAAACAGTCTGACTTGCTTTAGGCAACAGTCAGCAACATGCATGTGCGTCGCCGTTGCATGTGTCGGCATATTTTTGAACTCCGGCTACACATAACAATATATATATATATATATTTTTATATATATATATATATATATATATATATATATATATATATATATATATATATATATATATTACAAAAGCAATAACTCACACATCATCACGATTCTCCAGCCACTGGGACCCATGGCGATATTTTCAAGACATTTCATAATGGTGTGATCCTTATCAACCTCGCTGTACGTGTCGACACTGTAGTTAAGAGCAGCTGCGGTGTCAAAAGCCACGTTGCTAGCAAGCCTGTAAACAAAGATCCGTTATGACTCTTTCAGAAAAAAACGATTTGGCTCTTTTTTACATAGTTTACTGTGTCACAGTGCATCAGCACTGATCTGGCTTAATACCTTTAATTATACGTGTGCACAGCAAAATCTTAAATTTTTGTTGTTTATGTTCTCTCGCTTCGTGCTTTGATTACCTTTTCTTTCTTTTCGCGCTGTTATTATCCTGGGCAATGGAGTGCCAACTAGCCCAAACCTCCACGTTTAAACCAGAGTGCTTCAAAGCCTCTGCAGATAATAAGCAAAGAGTTTAATCGTGCCAGCGAAATTTTTTTAGTTCTTTAAAATGCGCTTTATGTGAATTAACTTCGGGCAATGGCAATCTGTGTGGGGAATGTGCCTAATGGATTCGAACGTCAGTAAACTGCATGCAAGTAACTGACACCTGACACCTAAATGTGTGAATGCACCTGACTCCTCAATGTATATGCTGAAAAGTATCAGATTGTGCTCAGCATCTTCCTTATTGCTCTAGAAGACCGAAAAGGGTTGCTTCTGTTGTAGCTGTGGACTGCTATAGATTCTGATCAATGCCACATACAGATCTTTAATTCCTTGCTGAGCTGAGTGACGCATTCTTATGCGCATCTTCTAGCTTTCGTTTCACATGTACTGCCATAAATCACCAAAGGAACTTTTTTGAACGACAAATTCCCAGATTACCACATTCTCTTTCATAAACGAACACTAAAGGGCAACAAAAACTTACTACAGAGTGAAATATAAAGGTATGAGAACATCTAAAGCGTCGGTGTTACCGAAAGTAAAGCTCTACTAAATTAGAAACCAATGTAAATGCAACTCACCATACGCACCACAACTGGGACATTTTAAAATGATACCAGTGACGTCAAGTCCCGGATGCCAATGATAACTAGCAAAGAAACCAGTTGCCTTAGAAAACAACCCTCTGTGCATTGAAACATGTATCAAAAGGCTAAGTGCTCATTTCTGTTTCATTCACGGAAAAAGAACTGCTTGGCGTTACCATGACGAATGGCACGAGTGGTTCAAAGGTTTCTTTCTCCCATGGTTAACTGGGCCCATCTAGCGTAACCTAGTTGAACCAGTCAAGTACAAAATACGTATTGCAGAAACATTGTGCACTATACTTGTGGTGTGAATGCCTTGTAGCAGCCTAATTATGAATGGGCTGCTTTTTTTAATAATATTTCCCTCAAAAACACTAGGCCAATACAAACGTGTCCATGATTGCGGTTGCGCCCCGCCGCGGTGGTCTAGTGGCAAAAGTACATGGCTGCGGGCCCGCGGTTAACGGGATTGAATCCCGGCTGCGGCGGCTGCATTTTCGATGAAGGCGAAAGTGCTGTAGATCCGTGTGCTCAGATTTGGGTGCACGTTAAAGAACCCCAGGTGGTCAAATTTTCTGGAGCCCTTCACTATTGCAATTCTCATATGGTTGTTTTGTCATACCATCATCATATCACATATCAGCATCATGATTGTGGTTTCAAAAGAGAGAAAAGATGTAGACGCCATCTTTTCAAGCAGGGAAAACTGGCCTGTTTCAAAAAAGGGCTACTAAATAAACAGCAACTTCGCGAACCGCTTGTAGCATTTATACGCGGCACGCACGGCTGCATGGCTGAGCAGTGCACAGCCATGTCTGCTTTCCGCAGTGTTTTTTTTTTCCTTTTCAACCATTCTGAGGGGTTCTTTATGACCACTATAAAGATACATATGCTACATTAACAAAAAATGTTTCTGAAAGCTCAGAACTCACTCGGAGAAGTTCACAGGCTTCCTTTCAGCTGCCGCATCTATCACTCTTGAAGTCATCTTTCCAGCAATGGGTTTTATCTTGGCCAAAATCTGTGATTGTGATTGAGAGAGGCGTACAGAAACAGAGCTTCCAATCCGGAGAACAAGGCACAATCTTCAAATGTAGACGTAACTTTTAGTGCTGTTGTTTGTCATTGCTGCTTCTACTCTTATGACTTACTGCATAAATATTGTTTGCGGACCTGCATTACTTGGTATTATAGTTCGATTCAATGCCTCATAAAATAGTGAATATTATCATTGCCTGCCACGCGATCGCCTGTCATGAAACCCCAAATATTGACCCGCATTCGCTAAAATGTCTTACGCTAAGCTTGTCAGTGAGGCTGAATCGCTCCCACATCCGAAGCTGGTGACATCATAAGCGAAACTGGAGGAACAATGGGAAAAAAGAAACAAACTTATGCAAAAAATATTGACGAATTCTTCCCCTTATTAGTATTGACCAGCACTCAGCCGCTCAGGATATTCAACAAAGCTTTTAATCCATGAATCCATTCAAATAGCCGCGGAGCTATGACAAACTCAGGCACCGTTTTTCATGAGCGTTCAAATTTCTCGTTTTTTGCTCGTCGTCACTCTTAGCCCTTTTTATTTATTGCAGAATGAAAGTGCACCAACTCGCTCCGCTATCCATTCTGATGAAGGTATGACATGCGTAGCAATGCCAACTTAGTACGAAGAACACAAAAAAGCTGCACGTTCTTTATAACGATTCAGTAGACGAAAACGCCTTGAGTTAGATAGGATACTTTTCGAAGTGGGCACAACATTTAGAGACGAAAGAGTGAAATGCTTTATATAACAGTTGTCTGCCCTATTGAATATTTTAGAGCTTTCTACATACTTACCATCTTAAACTTGCTTGGAGTAAGAGCCCGAGTGAAGATTGCTCGCGCTTTCTTCCACTCATCACCAGAAAGGTTCATGATGGACTTCTTCCAGACATCACTCCCCACTGTCTGAGATAGCTGCATTTAGTGAAAGGTGGACTATATATATTCCGCCAGGCTTACTCTTCACATTGTTAACTGCTTTCGATTACACGGACTGAGACAAATCCTGCGTTGTCTTTCGTATTAGAGTTAGAAGCCCATCGGGGTCACACGAAAATCGCTGTGGTCTATAGACTCGTTGTAGTTCCCATAGCCGAAGCACATTCATCTTTGAATTTTACGCAACCTCATAAACATGAAATTTCTGCTTATTTTGTTCTCTTTTAAATCTATGAAGTAGGACACATTCTGATTCCTAACAGTTCACCCTCTCACTACCACCTCATAGAAGAAAATTGGCAGATCCCTCGTATAGTGGGAATATGTGAAGCAAGAATGAGGAAGGTTGATATGTAATTCTAAAATAAGGACAACGTTACGATTCAGATGTAAATTATGCCTTAACTCACTTCCTTGTCATGCCTATTATGTTTGCACCTGGCCTTTGTGTTCGTCATCTATTCACGTCACGTGATACCAAATTCAATATATGTGGAGCTAGCGAAACGGCCGTGGGCACGCTATGAGCGTAGCATGTAATCATGTTATATATGGCAGACATGTCATTATTATCATGTTTGGATGTGTTATTTACTTTCGTAATCCACTCACGTCACAAAAAAACAAATTTCCTATATGTGAAGCTAGCAAAACGACCATGAGTCCACTATGAGCGTAGCATTTAATCATGTGCTTAAATGACACGCATCTCATGATAATCCCATTTGAACCAGTCACATACCTTCGTCATTCATTCACGTGCCGCAAAACCAAATTTGTTATATGTGAAGCTAGCGAAACGACCGCGAGCACACCATGAGCATGGCGTGCAGTCAAGACTTACTTGACCTGCATGTCATGATTTTCTCATTAAGGTTTGTCACTGATGTTTGCCATGAAGTCATGTCATACCATAGCACTTTTGCAATATGTCATGCGAACGAAACCACCGCAGGAGCAGCAGGACCATGAAATGTAAATCATGATATTCATACCATACACGTCACGATTTCCATGTTACGAGTAATCAGTTATGCTCGCCATACAGTCATGTTATGGCATACCAATTTTGGTATTGATACTATCATCGAAACATCTAGGAGAGCTAAAAGATTAGGCGGCTAGACAGACAGACAGACAGACACAGACAGACAGACAGACAGACAGACAGACAGACAGACAGACAGACAGACAGACAGACAGACAGACAGACAGACAGACAGATAGACAGATAGACAGATAGACAGATAGATAGATAGATAGACAGATAGATAGATAGATAGATAGATAGATAGATAGATAGATAGATAGATAGATAGATAGATAGATAGATAGATAGATAGATAGATAGATAGATAGATAGATAGATAGATAGATAGATAGATAGATAGATAGATAGATAGATAGATAGATAGATAGATAGATAGATAGATAGATAGATAGATAGATAGATAGATAGATAGATAGATAGATAGATAGATAGATAGATAGATAGATAGATAGACTTCCTTGTATAAGGTGATACGTGGAAGACTTCATCGGGTTAACTTCCCTACCTTTTCTTTATCTCTTTCCTTGTTTTTCTTAAATGCACAAGAACATACAAAGAAATTTTGATGGCTGTTCACCATTGTACCGGCAACAAATGATAACGAAAATGACCTCTCATACGTAAGTAGTGGTCAGCAATGCTGGGGTTCCACGCAAAGGGGGTTGAGGGGGGTCAGAAGTTTCTAAGCCACTATTTAGTGTTTTCCTATGGGAGGGTGGCCTGGAAGCTTTTGATTCCTCCTCTACTTCGCGTGAACCAGGGGGTGCCTGTGGTGATATTTCTTTCAAGAGAACATATTCAAAACTAGTGTCACCTCCGTAAATTCATCGGTGAGAGCTAACATGTACGCACTTGGCAAGATTGCATACATGCAAAGTAAGCTTTTTGATGCTTGAATATGCATTGTTTCTGTGTTGATGAAAGTTCAGTTTGTCGCGCATAAACGTTAAGCAGGTGCTGGGGAGAAATAGAAAAAAAATATGCTTCTGTAGTTTCTAAGTAATGTAAAGCTTTCATGCAGACATTTCGAGTGCATCGGTTAATTTATACATCCTTCCTCTTACCCGCCGTGGCGGTCTAGTGGCTAAGGTACTCGGCTGCTGACCCGCAGATCGCGGGATCGAATCTCGGCCGCAGGCGGCCGCAATTTCGATAAAGGTGCAAATGCTTGAGACTTGGGTGCACGTCCCCAGGTGGTCGCAATTTCCGGATTCCACCACGACTGCGCCTCTCATAATCACATGGTGGTATTGGATCGCTAAACCCCAGCAACTAACTAACTACAATATAGCTCGAAAGATACTCCGCAGCGGTAATGTGCTGTCTCCTTGTCAACAACGAATTCTTTCACTCACTCAACAAAACTATTTCAGTAGGTATATATACCTACTGAAATAGTTTTGTTTTATGCGCAAAATCTCATTGACTATACTTTTTCTTGGCACTCCGGTTTTTAAAAGAAATGAAAAAAACAAAGAAACAAGTGGCTGTTACAGATACGTCACGAACCAAGCAAGAGTAACCAGTTGTGACTGGCTGTGTCGGCCTAGTCGTGTTGTGTCTTTCTCTTTCCTCTCTTTCCGTCGTCAAGTTTCCCCTATCATGTCTCCGTGTATAGGGTAACAATCTGCTTGTCGTAAACTATTAGACGTCTCTACTTTTCCTACACTACCACTTCTTTCTCTCTCTCGTTTTCTTTATCGGCACTTACCGACCTGTCCGAAAAGTTCTTGAATTTCTTCACGAGGATCTCGCGCAAGATGTCTGCGTCGCCAACCACTAGAGTTGGCACTGTACCCTGGTAGGAGCTGTAAGAAATCAGTCATTGTTTTTCTTATTTGGCTTCAATATACTTGGGCATATGGTGCATAGCACAACTTTTTTTACGCGAAATTCAGGATAACGACTCGTATGAAAAGTCAAGGTAAGGAGACCACCGCTACGGCACCTGAGCCAACTTTGTCGAATAGCTCCAACATACACGTTATTACATCACCCCTTGAAAGCGAGCTGTCTCTGTTCTGTTCAAACTGTTTTGCTGTGGAGAGGTCTAGGTCCATATTGCATCGGCTACTCCATATCAATAAGTTATGAAGGGAAAAAAATAAAAGAATCATATCGACAGGTACCAAGAAATGGACAATCAGCAAACAAAAAATTGCGTACTGAAACCAGTGGAAATATCATGCCATTGTGCAGTTTGCTTCGAGCAGTTCAGACTGTCATGAAATGTTCACATGGACATTTTTTTCTACTGTCAGTATATGCACTAACACATCATTTCATATATGTCATACCCCGGATGTCTCTAACCCTATATCCTTCAATTCACGTGCAATAAGTTAGCATCTGAAAAAAAATCAATGACTTTTTCCCTGCCAAACTGAATGTAACATAACCTACATATGTCATAATTATTGTTCGAAAATATTGCGACACAATATTTTATTACGATAGTCACTGTAGAGCACTCCGGGAAAATATATGTCATTGTCACCCTTGGGGTGTTCCGGAAGTACACATGCGAATTATTTCTACAAGCGTTTCATGCACGTCATACTTTGAAGCTATAATAAGTAATGAATAATTTCCATCCACAGATTGTTCATGTGGCCATCGTTTAACTACTCTTCGTAAGTGTCGACAATTCTAGCGCGCTGAGGGTAATCATCAAATGTTTCGTTCACGTTGTGTGCGCTGAGCCACAGATCTCATCAGCGAATTGTAAAGTATGCAGAAAATTTGGAAAGTACTGCTCCTCTGCCACCCGCAAAACGAGTAAAATATATAATTTCCATAACTCTACATCCACACGGATTCAAAGGGCAGTGCAGCGACCCCAGCGAAGTGGCAACACTTCATCAGCATCGTGACCCTTGGTTAGTATCCTTCGATAGCGTCACTAATGATGTCCCGGCGTCTTTGGAAGTATAAAGCTTCGAAAGATCTTGACGCTTGTTGAAACGCCACTCCAGCAGTTCAAGCGCTGTGTTGTCTTTTTCGGTTCTGTTATGCCCGTGCGTCCACGCGCTATATACTTCTACGCTCAAGTACAAAAGTATAACTCGCTAATGTTGCCAAACATTTTTATTATCCATAGTTCTTATAAGTGTGACGCTTTCTGTAAGAGTCTTTCGAAAGCTTACCGAACGATGTGCCCCGAGTGTGGCTATAATCCTGATTCTTGAAAATAACGCCTCTACCTCGAGCGAAGACGGAGGACGCGTGCTACGGTTCACGTGTGACTGCGGCGAGAACGCTGGAAACTAAAGAAAATGTCGTTAGGCCTACTTACCCGTACAGACGGCCATGTCGAGTATAGGCACGGCGGGCTACATCGTTGAGCGGCTGCAAAGAGTGCATGCATTTTATTCAAGGTGATATTTTTGCATTGATGTGAATGCGAAGACCTGCTTTCTCATAAAATTCCATCAAGCTGCTAGTCATATAACATGACCTATTAACTCGTGTATACCGTGAAAAAGAGGCAAAATGCTGTATTTCGAACAGCGCAGCTGTTTAAGCTGACTGGTTTGGGCGTGACGCGTAAATAGAAATGATCATAAACATTAAATGGTACGTGCTTGCTTCGTCCTCGTCTCTAATAACAAAACACGTGCGGTTACTTGTCCGGCGAGGGATTCAATAACCCGATAGGTGAGAGAATGACTAGAGAAAGTCAAAACAGGAGAGAGAGAAAGAAGCACAGAGGAAAAGAGAAACAAGAAAATTCTTCCGCGAAAAAAACTTCTAGACAATAACGGGATTTGGTAGCGTGCTCCCACAAACCAAAGGCGAGCATCGTAACCCCTCGTTTATCTAACCACGCTATCAGAGCACAGCATAGCCTTGTATAGTTCAGTATGTATTGAGTGGTTGGGTAAGATAAGTGTGGGTAAAGAGGAGGAAAAGGAAGACAGAAGAGAGTGATTCATAACACAAAACGATCATCATCATCATCAGCCGGACTACGTCCACTGCAAAAAAAAAATGGCCTCTCCCATGTTCCGCAAGTCAACTCAGTCCTGTGCTTGCTGCTGCCAATTTATACTCGCAAGCTTCCTAATCTCATCTGCCCACCTAACTTTCTGCCTTCTCGTCACCCGCTTGCCTTCTCTTAGAATCCAGTTAGTTGCCCTTAATGACCAGCGGTTTTCTTGCCTTCGCGCTAGGGCCCATGAATATTTGTTCTTCATGATTTCGACGGTGATGTCATTTACACCTGTTGGTTCCCGGAAACACTCTGTTCTCTTCTTGTCCCTTAGGATTGCGCCAAACAATTTTCTTTCCATTACTCGTTGCGTCGTCCTTTTTGCTGAACCCTCTTTCTAATCCTCCAGGTTTCTGTTTCGTAGGCAAGTACCGATAAGATGCAGCTGTTAAATACCCTCTTCTTGACATTTAGTTATATAACAGCTGCACCGATGACAGCGCTTCGCGGATGACATTGCTTTGCTGAGTAACTCGGGTAACGTGTTTGACTTCATGAATACTGAATCAGCCAAGGAAAACAGAAAGGTAGCTCCTAAGAATAATCTTCAGAAAATGAAAGTAGTCTACAACATCCTCGGAGGAGAACAGCGCTTCGGTATAGGTACAGCAGTGCACTTGAAGTTGTAAAAGAATGCGTAAGCTTAGGGAAGGTAGTAACTGCGGAGCCGAATCACGAGATTGAAGTAACTAGACAAATAACAATGGAGTGGAGTTGATCCAGCAAGCACTCTAAATTCATGTATGGTAGATTGCCCCTACAGAGACTATGAGTGCTACAATACACGAGAAAAACAGAAAGAAAGAAAGAAAGAAAGAAAGAAAGAAAGAAAGAAAGAAAGAAAGAAAGAAAAAGAGAGAGAGATGATAATATATATAGAGAGAGAGAGAAAAGAAAGACAGAAAGGTAAAAAGACAAGAAAATAGAGAAAGTTAGGGTGAAGCAAAAAGTAGATATTCAGAACGGAAAGTCAGGGTGAAGGCAATGAAAATAAGAGTGGCCGAGAAGACAGCGTAGCGCAAAGAGACTGAGCAAGATAAATAAAGTAAATATATGTAGAGAGAGAAAGAGTGAAACTATTGAGAAAGAGGTAAAAACAGAAACAGGAATTACGTGAGAAATAGAGAGATATAAAGAAAGAGAGAGAGATAAAAGGGACGACAACAAATACGAAGTAAAATAGAAACAGCCCTAGAGAGAAAAAAATAGAAAGCGAAAGAAAGAAATGGAAATGAACGCAGAAAAAAGAAAAAAATGAAAGAGAAAGAGAGATGGCAGACAACTAAACAGAAACAAATCACGCCCAGCTCCACACTTTTATTAGGCTTCGCACCCCTAGTGCCATATTTGTCTTATTTTCAACTTATCATTTTTGTTCACGTGACCCTGTTTTCAAGTTATCATTTTCGATTTCGACTGTAGAGACAGAAACTCGCCCTGAATATGAGCGTTGGCACCTTATACGTATATGGGGACGTCGTCGTTGGCGTAGGCCCTTGATTGCTTCGTGGTCTTGTCGCAGTCGTCATGGTCTTTCTGGTTACCAAGTATTACTCTCTCATTTTACATATACTCGGCGTCTTCGGCTCGCCGCCGTCGTTTCGCAACCATTGGTTGGTCTAATTTTTGCCCTCTATATATTTTTAGTGAACCAGCGATCAAGGATTCAACCAATTTCTTCGGCACATACTCATTTACGATGAGGATAGTTTTCTCATAGGCTGAATAGGCACACGTGCATACCTTTATGGTAGGCCACACAAATTACGGCTAGCTTAAGCAGCTTCACTGCTAAAGCAATGCATATTTGAAAGTGCACTGTCAAAGATTAAGTTCTTTATCAGCTGTTGTTTGGGTAATAAATGTGTGACTTAGGTGGAGTGTTCCCTAATGACATAATATCTCTTATTATTTGTTAGAGCTACAATAATATTGAGAACTAACAGACAATCAGTGTCAGTTAGTTTTCAATAATATTTTGTCTAACAAAGAAAACGAGCCCTTAAAATATACACTTCTCTTCGTGCAATAGCCATAGGTGGCGCTTGGTACAAATACGCTTTATCGTTTAAATTATTTGAATGTGTGCCTACCTTGGTGTAGATGTCGTAGGCGAAGCGCATGTATTCCCAGAAAGTAAGATGTGCTACTCCCTTGCCGTTCCAGAACGTGAAGATTCGTCTTAGCCACCTATCAGCACGACGCAAAAACGAAATAACTTCAAGGTACGTGAATGATGCCCAACGCATGAAATATTTTGTTAACATACGGAACCTTCAGATGGTATATGTAATATTGAAAAACGCCGAAGCACTCGCGAGGCATGGAACTAGGCACTGTGTTGAAGCAATCCGCTCTAAACATTGCACCCCATTCACACGTCATTTCTTGCTTTTGCTAAGTTTTTGTGTTGGTTACAACGGTTACTGTTTTGCTAATCTATCTAGCAAGCATAATCTTCCATCGATATTGAACCTGTTGCATGAAGTCCTTCTCAAATTTTTCTCACATCGTTCTTCTCACAATATCTTTCAAGAATCATCACCGCAACTCACCGCTGTTCTGCAGCAGTAATGGTGGTCCGCTGCCGACCCAAAAATATCGGGATCAAATACCGCCCGCGGCGGCTGCATATCAATGCTATGGAGATAAATGCAAGATGTATGCGTGCTTAGATTTAGGCAAAAGTTAAAGAATAATAGGTAATCGAAATTTCCTCAGCCCTCCACTTCGGTATCAGTTTCTTCCCACAGCCTCGAATGGCTTTAACTGGAGCTCCGGAGGGAAGGTGTTTGAGGTACGGCAAGGGTACCCCTAGATAACTCGAGTGCTCGGTAGCAGCGCGAAGGAATAGCCGTTGTTGTCCGATGAAGAGGCGCTTTATTGCAGCACTCGCGCATCTGCCCAGGTCCAAGCCCGAACCTCCGCTCCCATTTCACATCCGAACACCCTCTTTTCAGCCCTCTGTCAAACAAAGGGTCTCCACACGTGCCAATTACACAATGGGGGCTCGCATCACCACAAGTGATTGCAGGAACACTTTTATAACAGACACTGCATTGGTAAAAAGCACGTTACAAAATTAAACACGCAAGGTTGGTTTTCTGCGCAACGCGTGTCGTCTTACGGCCTCAAACACCACAAACCTCGCACATTTCTCTTTCCTGTTAGTCTGAGTATCGGCCTTGACGTCCGCTGGTAGCCGTTCCCAGGCTCGAGTTCCATCAACTCGCATACCAAACGCTGCTTTGTAGAAGCCGCCCTAAACACGGTGAAAACGTTGTCAGGCCCTGTATACTGACATTGTGTGCATGCGGCAGCGAGGTGCCCCGCCATTCCAAAAACACTCGTGAATAACCTGTAACGGGGGGCAAGCTCGTCCGCATGCTTCGAAGGCCGTATTGTCATCAAAGAATGAACGCATAGCCCAACCATGTCTCAGTCGGCCCAGCGGTAGAAAGCTTCCTCCGGGTCCTTATGGCCTTCTCAAACGCAACATGTGAATGCCAAACAATCAACTCGAAACCAGACAACCACGCGTCGCCTGTATCTTGCGAGACTCGCTTTCCGGTCAGCTTTCCCCTTTAGTCCCAACCTCTCGTCAACCGTGTGAACGAGTGATTCGCCTTCTTTAGTTTTTTTTTTTTTTCATGCGTGGCTCCTCTGTGTTCGCCTTCTCTGAACACGGGAACTCTCTGTGCGCCCCACGGCAACCTGCCTCTCTGCGCACCTAATACTAACTGCGTCTCTCATAGTCTTGTGATGCTTTTTAGACGTCAAACTCGACCGAATAATATTAATCATCGCCGGCTCCGAAGCCCGACTAATTGGTGTGCTTCACAAAGCGGATGTCAAGATACTTATGCAAATTAAAGGTGGCCTCGAAAAGCACTAGCGCGAGAATAGAGAGTGGCGTCATAAAAATAATAACGAAACTGTACCTACCAAAGGGCAACACCCAGTAAGAGCCCAAAAAGTGCGACGAAGACTGCCAACATGGTGCGTTCTTCTCCCAAATATTTGAGCACAGAAGAACTTCACGTGGAGTGGTGTGTATTGTTAGTCGTGTATCATATACTGACTCCCAGTTCGTGCGAACACACTCGTCGAAGCGATCGGACTTTTTAGCTTTCTCTCTTTCAGCTTGTCAGTGCGTCGGGAAGTCGGCAGCTGGCTGTAAATAAAACGACTGGAGATGACGTTACTATGGCGGAGGGCAAATTAAATGTTCGAGCACTTCTCTCTCCACGAGAATCTCTGACGACGCTGTGGGGCAATACGCCCTTCGCCGGGTAATAAATGGACACTCAAAATCGAAACGACCTTTCACATAATTATTAAAGTGCAATTCCAAAATCCCGAAAACACCAATCTTACTACGACACGACGCTTGATGGACGAGTAAACGCGCGAAAGGAAAATGCGGTTGGAGATTCTGCCTTTAGGTTCCCTCTCAGAACTCCATGACGTAATAGATTTTTAAGCCGTTTAATAGGTCTTACGCAGATTCTATTCGATAAAAATAAAGTACACTGTGTCGTCTGTGGTTGCCACAGGCCTAGCATATACGAAGTCTCCGAAAAATTCGTGGAGCCATTGTCATAAAAGAACGAAAATCGCGTTTTGAAAATTCTGGCGTCACGTGCGCAAATATCGGCGAGAAATTTAGACATGAAAATTTAGACATGAGACTTCAAACTTGATTTTCTCCATTAATAATGAGCTTACAATAAACATATAGCATTAAGGTTCTCAGAGTGCAGATAGTCAATTTATCCCAAGTCATCATTTCTCTTTACTGTCTCCTTAATGAAGGTTAGCGCAACTCAGGAAGGGAGATAAGGGCATGGAGACACTTAAAAAACTAGGTGGCAACGTCACGTCACAATCTCTAAGCCCTGTTTTAATAATTTCAACTGGCTTAAGCGAAAATAATAAGTCGTTTAAAATTGAGAAATTGTACTCTGAGAGCTCAATTGACTTGAATTTCATCAAGATAGATTTGTTAATAGAGCAGAAAATCAGTACCAAAGGTATATTTCTAAATATTGCGAAAAAGTCTCATCCCGTGACGTCATCAGTTTCAGGGTGCACTTTTCTATTGGCGCCTGATTGTGCAACATTTTTTTTTTAATTTTTATACTAAGTCTACGGCCTTAGATGGCAATGCACTTCAATTTGAATTATTAAGAATTCCGTTAGGATTTAGCAGGCGATGCAAAATATACGATGTCACGACATCGGGTGTGAGAATTCAACGATGGCGTCACCACCCGAATTTTCCTTTGGGGCTTCTCGCATAGCAAGCTTACTTTACGCTCAGGTGAGAAAATTATGGGTCTGTGAAGTAGTAATTTATTAATACGAAAGTGATTTTTAAAGACGATAGTCTGTCTTGGGGACCTTCGAAGCAAACATTTTGGCCTGTCTCTCTATCTGTGTGTACCTTTGTATGTTTTTACAACTTAACGGTACCCTAAAAGGCACCAAAGTGATCATACGATGCTCCAACAGCCGATCCCATCCGCAGCGCCCAAAAACATTGCTCAAGATTCAGCGTTCATACTTGTGCGGTTGTCAATCAAAAAGCAATTATTGCGCATATCTGAGGCACCAAAACAATGCGTCAATATTCTGTATGTGTGTCTTTTTACTAGAAAAGGCATACATAAGTAATTCTACAGACTGAGGCGTTTATCAAGCTGCGCTGACGATGCTACGCTTGCGCGAAAAGACAAGGGTTTCGAACGCTTTGCTGAGACGACACGGTGGTGGAACGTATTCCCGTCGCCTTTGCGTTCTACACCTTATCACCTCAGAGAGGGCGCGCTAGTTGAGTGATCGTTTTCCAGGATAACTGCCAGATAGCACTCATGTCTCACGTGTGACGTGACTTGATGCGCTCGTTCGCCTCTGCTGCACGCTCGAGGCACTCTAACGCAGCGCCTCCGGAATACCATTCACCTATTTCTTGTGCATAACATCACATAAACGTTTTGTTAACTCTCTCCAGACACAAGACTATCGTGCTTTCGACGACATTTGCAGTGTAACATGCAGATTCGGGGCCCATTTTTTTGTTTCTTTCTTTCTTTACTGCGCCTTTCATGAAGAAGTAGGCTCCAGTGACTTGATAGCTAGGAGATGGGTAGGTTTGGTCGACCAGCATCGATTGTTCATGTGGCCTCACACTGACGCCCCACCGCACGCTTTTATGACAGTATGTGTTACTATAACGTAATTAATATACAACAGCATGGGAAGAGAACAGCGCTTGAAGATGCGTAGCAGTGCACTTGAGATTGTAGAAGGGCACAGTACGTCTACTTAGGACAGGTAATAACCACGGAGCCGAACCATGAAACTGAAGTAACTAGAAGAATAAGAATGGGATGGGGCACAATCGGCAAGCATTCTGAAATTATGATGGGTATATATTGCCACAATCTCTCAAGAGGAAGGTATATAACAGCGACATCTTGCTGATACTTACCTACGGAGCAGAAACCTGGAGGCTTACAAAGACGGTTCAGCTTAAATTGGGGACGATGCAGAGAGCGATGAAAAGGAAGATGACAGAGGTAACCTTAATAGACAAGACGAGAGTAGAGTCGGCCAGGGAAAAAACCGCGGATAAGGAAATAATAGTTGAAATCAGGTAGACGAAATGGACATGGGCCAGGCACGCAGCGCATAGGCAAGATAACCGCTGGTCATTAAGGGTATCTTACTGGATTGCCCGAGATGGCACGCGGGTGAGGGGGAGACAGAAAGTTAGGTGGGCTGATGAGATTAGGATTGATGATGGATATGTGGGGTTTAACGTCCCAAAACCACCGTATGTATATGAGAGACGCCGTAGCGGAGGACTCCGGAAATTTAGACCACCAGGGTTTCTTTAACGTGTGCCCAAATCTGAGCACATGGGCCTACGGCATTTTCGCCTCCATCGAAAATGCAGCCGCCTCAGCCAGGGATGAGATTAGGAAGTTTGCAGGTATAAAGTGGTGGCAGCAAGCAAAGGACCGAGTTGACTAGCGGAACATGGGAGAGGCGTGGGCATGGTTTTGCAGTGGGCGTAGGCAGGCTGTTGATGACGATGATGATGATGGTGTTATCATGCTTGATACCAAGTGGTCCAGTTTTCTGTATTTTAACTGTCAAAGGGGCACCACGCACATGAGCCGCTGGAGAGTTGAAGAGATGATGTCAGAGGAGGGTGGCTTGCCGCGGGCCCAATGGAATCATGCGGTGCTCCCTCCTGGTTTTCTGTTTTTCTTTTTCTTCATGAAGACTGGCACAATAGCAAACACAGATACGACATTAGGTCTGATAAGGCCGCATTAGTTCCATCTAAATAGTAGTTTTTCTTTTCTGAAAAAAATCGGGATTATCTATCGCGAAAAGTGTGCGATATGCGTTTCGGAAGCGATGTTGCTACGTGTTATTGGGAATGAAGCTTCGTGTAGTTCAAAAGTCAGCGATCCCTTTATTTAAATACGGGCGCATGAAACGGTAAGTAGTGGTGCGTAAATTACGATACATTATCAATAAAAAATCTCACGAAGAAAAAAGCATTAACTGCATTGTCATAAATTGCGGCCGCTATCATGGTAAATAAATTAGCGGCCTCCACGGCATTAAGAGTTATGTGGAAGCGCGTTATAAAACTAAGCTATGTTTTCCCATACAGCGAAACCTAGATTATACGAATTTCCCGGGGGGAGGGGGGGGGGGCTAAAATATTTGTTTCATTCAAACTTCAAACCACCAGGAAGCATGGAAAATTACCATGTATCAAAAGAAAACTGGCGTACATTTCCATGCACAGTTTTTCAGGGCAGCAGCACCGTCATGAACACCTGTGAATGATTGCCAGCGCAGCGTTTGGAGGTAAACACTCATACTTGTACTCGTGAAACATATGGCACATGCGCACGTGTGTGCTTAATGAGCCAGTATGCTAAGAGGCAGGAGAGCTGTGGCAGCTGAAAGAGCGTTTTCACAACCTCAGTGCGTTTTTCTGCATCCCAACGACGTCTACGGCAAGAGTGGCGTAAATAGCACATTCAACGGAATAAATAAATGCCAGGAGATTTCAGAACCGTTGACTTTTTTCTTTATTTTCTTGTCGTGGTGGTATTAGGCGTGTTTTACGGAAAACTCACGGCCATGCCTGCACTGTCCGTGGCCTTGTTGAAAATTCGGGAGTCGCCCGTGCAAATCGGGAGATTTGACTGGGCGACGTCAAGCTCCTTTACGAAGAATATGCGCTTATTCTTTCTGTCCTAGTAATGCTTTGATAGGATGCCTCAGTGCGATATGGCTGGCGCATGTAAATGGAGTACAACTGCCGTAGACTCGTACACAGGACAGGGTGGGTGGTTCCCCCTAATCCCCTAAAGGCGCGTTCACACTAGAGAGAAACGTCACCGATTTCGGTCTGCCGGTTTTTTTTTTTTTTTGGAAGAGTCTTTTCTCTTGTCGTCGTCCTATTTACACTGCAACGACACGAACAGTCCACCGATGGTCTCTGAAAGACTCCGTTCGTGCCCTGCCGGGCTTGCCGCCTTTCGTTTGCCAATTCTATAGTCACACCGGAGGCATACGCAGCGACACCACCTAAACTTGCACACCGGCGCCTCATTTTAATCCATGCTCCCTGCTCTGCCATTGTCCTTTTCGTATACGCAAACCAACATAATCCACGGCTTGGAGAGACGGGGGTGGGAGACACAAGAGGGAAGCGAAGTATAGACTTTCGCTGGGTGCGCAAGATGCTTATTCAAACGCCGTGGAAGCATCGGAGGGGTCAATGTTATCTCCCGCAAAATTTCCTCCTTCGTGATCGTTACAACAAAAGACGTGGGCAAATTTTCGCTCAGCCGCAGATCTCCCGACGAAATGCCAATGACAGGTCTGCGCGTGCGCTGTGCTGGTGTTTTTGGTCTGTCATCATGTTACACAACGATGACATGCTGTATTTCGATGCGTTGACATCGTCGTTGGCCTAGTGTGACCAGGCGGTCTGGCGACTTTGTCGACGGTTGACTCGTCGGCCGGTCGTCTGTCTCATGTCTTCGTCTGGATCGTGTCTGCGTCGTCTCTCTCTAGTGATATAAATGCGCCTTAAAGGAGAGAACAAGAAAAAACACGACGTAAGTGCCATCTGAAGTCTACACGGGAAGGCACGCGAAGAGGCACCAAGGCCTGCAAGATTAACACGCATAATCTCTAATGCCAATAGGCGGTGCACAAGGTAGCCTGTCCCACGGTTGAGTTACTGCGCCCACGCATCATTGCCGCATCTTGCGTGACAGCGTGCACAGCACCTGTTGGTACCTGTGCGGTTGCGTACATTCCTATCGGACGTCAGGGGGTGAAAATCGGTTCCAAAACTTTGCTCCATTACATTGCGGGCTAATGAGCTCTGGCCGGGATCACAGAAAGGTTCGTATTACCCCGAAGTTTGTACGAACCGTTATTGTATCACCGAGGTTTCACTGTATTCTATACTTGCTATATGAACAGTCGTCGAAGCGGACCATCACCCTTTCATTGCCGAATAAAAAAAAAGTGATCAGTGACATGCCATTGAGGCTGCAACGTTTTTTCGTGCGCTTGCTTAGATATAACTCTGACCTGCACTTCCTTCCAAGGCAGCAGCTCATGCTCGCAGACAAGCTGTCGAGAGCACTTAGCAGTGAAGGCAGTGGGGACGTTAGCATGTATAACGCTGCAGTGCATGCCATAAGTATGGCATCCTCATTTATCCACGACGGAAGTTGAAAGCGCCTTGCCAAAGAAACTGCCAAAGGCAGCTATTTGAAGATAGTGCTGCAGAAGTTCACTACGTTTGAACCAATAGAGGGCTGACTATAGCTTTGTCTACCCAGGCTCTTTTCCATCAACGGTGTCTTCATTCAGTGGCTCAAGGTCGAAACTTCGAGCAGAATGAGGTGGTGAGACATTTTATAGGATCCATGAAGAGCACCTAAAGCTCTAGAAACGTTCAGCTAGGCTCGTCGTTAGGTCTTCTGGCCTGTGATGAACTAGGAATTTACGGCGTTCACTGAAAGGTACACATCATGAAAAAAATCGCCAGGCCTGCATGGAACGCGCAGCACTGTCCCAGCGAAACCTGAAAGAGTGGCCTTTCAGAGCATTCTTCAAACAAGTCAAGTCAAAATCCTTGACGATGTGGCGCACGCCCACGCTGGGGGATTGGCCAAGAATCAAATTGTTTTCATGAATTTGTTCCTTAATAACAGGTTAAGATTAAACTATTTACGATAAATAAAAAAAGATACTACAGGACAAGTTTCATGGCTGAATTGTAAATAATCTGTAGTGTAATGCAATGAGGCGGCGTATTTATTGGGAATTTGGTAAAGTCAAAATCCACCGAAGAATAGCTTCAACACTTAAACCTCTTTGAACTTTAGACGAACTCCTGCAATGCGTCAACAAGCTTCCCGTCGCTGTGGCCAAGAGACAAAGCCCCGAAAGAAAGCACATTTTGAGCATTTAAATCTATTCCGAGAAGGCGGCAAACAGCACCTAAAGTGTTTTTTAATAAGGCAGAGAATCTATTACAGTAAATGAGATAATGTTCAGTTGACTCATTTACTCCACAAACTGGAGAATGAGGGGAGGCTATCAGACCAGCTCTGTGTAAATATAAATCTAGTTGCGGGATTTAACAGCGCAGTCTAGTGATTGTGACTTCTGTTCCTCGCCTTTGACATATTTTACTATTCAAGTGATATAACAAGTGCTTGAGTTTTAGTCTGGCTGTTAGAGAAAATGTAGAAAATCCCTTAACACTAGTTTTTCCTAATCTAGCGCCTATTAAGAATTTCGATGTCGGTAACACCTCAATAACAGGCCCATTTAGCGATGACTTTACTAGCGCATCTGCCATTTCATTCATATAAATACCCTTATGTCCTGGAACCCTGTGGAGAAGCACCCGCGCCCAGCCTCCCTTTTTCTTTTTACGGCAGCGCGAAAGTCTAGCTGCGGGAACACCCGCACGGCCGGCGCTCGGGATTCCCCCTTTCCCGGCACGCGGAACGGGTTTCCCCCCTCAGCGAGAAAAGTATTCTCGTCAGGGAGAGGCAAACCAGGGCAGGGGTCAAAACTGGCATGCGGACGGCCGCGCGGGCTCACTGAGAAACGTTCCACGCGCTTCCCGCACTGCCGCTCCGCACGTGGCGGGACACCTACCGCACGCAAGCGGGGGACAAATAAGCCCATTGGCGACGCTGGGGAGGGTGAAAAAGCGTCGCCAATCGGCTTATTTCTCCCCCGCTTGCGTGTGGTATGGGTCCCGGCACGTGCGTTGCGGCTGTGCGGGAAGCGCGTGTAAGGAGGGCCTTGACACCGGCCAGGAATCAAAGAGGTCGGACCCACAACCCCCTGCGAGCCTATAGGACGTCAACGGCCGAGGAGTAAGCGTCTACCCTTGTTTCTGTACTTTCTCCTCGCGAAATTTTGCGCGCTATTGCTAATGCCGAGCAAAAAAGTGTTGTTGACCTAGCCTGTTGCCTTATTCGCCCGAACCAGTGTAGCTGCAATGAGAATAGCTACGGATAGGGGACGTTAATCGTGCACGGTACGACTGCGTGCGGCTGAGGCTTTAGTTAGGCTTCTGCGTCAGCCGTACATAGAGCAGACCCCCTAAAACCCAGACCAATTTGATCAGATTGAGATGCGAGGGAACTAATGCTTTGAAAGCACTCTGAGCATGCGAGTTGCCATCTGCAATAAGGGAGGCACATACTGATAGTGAATCCGTTAAAATTACTGCGGAACTTACTGAATCAGTTATTTTACGGAGAGCTAGAATTATCACGAAAATTCTGCTTCACTTTTTAGGTGGCTATCATGCACACCCTCAGGTTACCCACCACGTCTAGTGGGCAGGCAGTCTCTATACCATCCTTCGTCATCCTTCGGAGAAACGTGGTACCTGCTGCTCACTTGCAAAACATTTTTTTATTCTTTTTTTGCTGTGCTTGACAACAAAGAAGAATTGTGGAAGAAGTATTTATTATCCCCACAATCCCCTAGAGAAGGTATGTACCACGATTATTATGTGAACAATGTTGGACTTTTGTAAACCATTTGATCATTCGACGACGTACTTTTTGCGCAATTCGCACTATGTGACCCCTGATTGTTTCTTTGCTGTTCTAAAACGCTTTATTGCTTATATAACCGCTATTCTTCTCCAACATCAGGCCGGCGTGAAAGGCCAGTTTGCAACTGGCGTTGCTCAGTTGCAGAATACTGGGCTGGCCTGCAGGGGATCCGGGTTCAAATTCTATTGCAGCCTTGTCGTTTTTGCTTACTGAACTTTTTTGTTATTTCGTGCGATGGTGGTTACGGACACCGGCGGTGGCAGTGGCGGACAACTACGGCGCGCACGTGAATCGTGTTGTGATCTCATTAGAGCTTTCGCTGCGCAAAATGCGTGTACAGCAAGCCGAAGCAAGCACTTATGATGCGTTCTGCGCCTGACCAACTCTGGTAAGGAGTAGGTATAGACATCTTTTGTTATGGCGGGGAGTCCTGCGTGGGTGTCTACGATGCATGATCAGACTTCCTGGAAGTCTAATGAATCCGACACATTATTTCGAGGACTATCACCAGCGCCACTAGTGCCGCATTTTTGCACGTTATGGCATAACAATGGAGGTGCCCTCTCACAATGGTCCTCAATTTTCGAGCAGGTCATGAGTTCGCTTTATTTGCGTGCATTCACAAATTCAAGCACATTACCTCAAATCCAGGGTTCCCGCGTAGGCAGGCGCTTAGGCAGAAATGTATTTCGGGGGGAGGGGGGACACCACCTTGATTTCGGAATGGGCACCCCCTTAAATTAGCGATTTTTTTGCTCTCTATGCCATGGCGAAAAAAAATCGAGAGAGGGGGGAGAGGATACGTGCCCGCTGTGCAACTTCCTGGCTTCGCCCCTGGGCATAGGGTCCACTAGCGCGATCCGAAGAGAGGGTACAGGTGATGAAGATACTTTTTGAGAAAGTTTCCGAAGCTAAACAGGATTTCTGGTCGGCTCTGCAGGCCTACAGGACATATCCCTTGGATGTAGTACTGGCAAATGCAGAGATGCCTTTGGGTATTCGGCTACAGACGCGGCTACCCGACTACCAGGGTAGCCTTTCCTACTGAGTATTCGAGTATCGTCAGGCTCGGTCGCCCGCACAGTCACTCCGTGAAGTCAATGTTTTGCGAGTCTAGAGCGGCTAATGGGCCACCAACGCAATCATTTCAAAGCCCTCAGCTTATCCTAGGTCGTAGCACGTAACCACGCAGGAAGAGCGCTGCCTTCAGCGCAATGGATAGCACTGCTACCAACTCTAGAAGCCTTACAACACGACTTCCATAACAACGGGAGCAACGTAGGACTGAAAACCTCGATAGCTGCGCGGCACATCAAAGGCACACCACTGAGTAATGACCCAACTACCGCAGGTCCATCGAGTGGTCCTACGCCAGCCCCCACAAGGTCGCTGTGAATGCAAGACCACCACGACGACTAGAATATTAACTAGATTTTACCCAAATGACTTGAACTCTCTGTAGGTTTCTATACTTTCCTCATGTTTTATAAAATGCCACTTCAAGCCATCATGTTTCGCACATATGTAAATAACCACACTGTTTCTTCATGTTTTCCCAAGTAAAAAGGATGTATTGACTAGCACCTCACTCTTGCGCTACATACGACAAGCTTCAGGGGTGTTTTCCCAGAGTGAACTATATATGTGACTGACTCAATCTATCTATCTATCTATCTATCTATCTATCTATCTATCTATCTATCTATCTATCTATCTATTATCAAAGAATGAGACTCAGATGCAGCAGTTAACTAGGCCGGCTGTTCTTTATTAGCCCTCGTCTTTTCGGGTTGAGCGAGCGGGAGAGCCAAAGCTCCGTTGCTGCGCTCTATCTTCACAATGTATATATATATATATATATATATATATATATGAGTGTGTGTGTGGACACGCCGGAATCCGTAAACTTTAGAAAAATACATTCTTATTCCAAGATTTTATTCTTTTTGTTACTGCAAAACAAACGAAATATGTAACGATGTCGTTATTGTGTACAGTAGCGCATAATCTTTCTGGTTCCTCTGAGAGACACGTTTCATGAGGCAGTGGGTAGCGGTGCTTGCATCCCCGGTGTTTTGTGTGCACAGGCCGTCTTTCACGGCGCCCGAAACACTCAGCAGCAATGTTGACCAAGTTGTCCAGCAACAAGTCCTATTTTGTGCGCAAATCACGCTCCTCACATGAACCACGTCTCCTGGACCCTTATGAAGCACTGCTTCACGAGCGCTGACGAGGCACAGCCCGTAGTAACAACGGGCCATCGAAGAAAGGCAGTATTTGTCCAGGCTTCAGCTTGAGTGGGATCTGTTGACCGAGATTAACAGCAAGAATTAGACGACTCGAGAGGTGTTTTAACACGTTTTTTTTTTGCCACACAAAAAAGACATGACTAAGTTTCGTCCTAAGGATGTCATACATCAGAAGAAAAGCGTTATTTATAATGCTGCATCAAGCTGAACTAATATTCTGTGTATGAAAGCATATGAGTAAGAAATACGCTTACTGAGAATACACAGCAAGAACCGATAGGAATGAGTGTCAATGTTACGTTGACAACATTCCAAAGTGGGATGCAGGCGTGTAAAAGGGACGCAATGCGAGCTATCCATTGAAGAAATTGTTCTGGACTAATGATAGCAAATGGTTTTCATAAAATGAATGTGCCAGTTTATTCCTACTGTGCTAGTCAGTTTTGATTCGTGGATTTAATCAATATTCCGCCAAGTTTATATTATAAAAAGAAGTTGACGCCCAAATTTTTCATCTGTTACGTTCTACTGCTACACGGTAATTGGTATCTTCATAATAAAGTAAGAAATTGTGTTCATGTGATTAGGGTTGTTGCTCGATCAGTGCCTTCATTTGATGTCTGTAAGTCTATGAGCAACATAACGGCATGGCGTCAATTTGTTTCACCCAATGTCGTGTTCAAGAACTGCGTTAACATGGTAGCTCGTGCGAGCACAAGAAAAAATAAGGGCCGACGAATTATGAGGAAATAACTACTACATGCAACTTTTTTCCATGAATAGGCTGTAAATAGAACGAACTTTAGGACAGCTTTCTAGCTCCAATCCACTGATATTCAAAACAGATTTATGCAATTGTCAAGGCCCACTGATTCACTGAGAAAATTTGTTAAATGAGTGCGTGGCAAAATTTGTTGCTGCTACGCTATTTGAAGTACGATCGCATTATTACAGCACACGTTTTGAAGCCAGTGCCCGTATCTTGTAGCCACGTGTCAAGCTTCATTATATGCTAGTCTTATGCTACAATAGAACGAAGTAACTACATTTTAGCCTATCCATTACTCACTACTGGCAGATTCTATTAGTAACGTGGCCAGGCGGTCGTCCTTACCGCTGGACAATCACAAAAAGCATGATAAAGTATTTAGAAAAAAATGTGCGTGTAGGCCAGTTTTTGATTCATGATTAGCAAAGGTAACCACAAAACAAACGACATAAGAAGAGACAACACGAACCACGTCGTGTTGTTTCTTTTCTGTGTCCCATGTGGTTTTGCAGTTGTCTTTGCAATAATCGTTAAAAGACATTAGCAACCGCAAAAGGCTGATCTACAAAATAGCAACCCGACATTGTACTGCCATTCATAGCTGTAGGCTATCGCTAATCGCATAGCAGCTCTGGATAAATGTGTTTGCTCCGAACATATAATAGTTTTTTGCTGACACATCCAGCAGGATAATAAATATAGCTTGTAGACTACATATTGAATATTTCACGGTTTAAGTTTTAAAGTATAGATTAATACAGGCAAAAGCACATTAAGGAACCAAATTGTAGAGAATGCAGTTATGTGCGATCTTCAAAAAAAAAACTGATAATATACCCTATTATAAATCCTAACTTTTCGAAGTGTATTTCACTAAAACAAAGAAACATTTTTAACTTTTACCATTGTTTCAGGGCACGTTTCGAGCCTAACGTGCTGAAGCAGGCAAGCGAGAGTTGTCTTCGCTTGGACCATGCCGAGGCGCATGCCGACGCAGTTGCGAGGTCCGGCACCGAAAGGAATGTAAGTGAACGGCTTTATGGAGTCCTTGTTTTCTGGCATAAACCTGTTACCAAAAACACACTGCATGAGCAGTTTCACTTACACTTGTGATCAGTATTTCGCAAAGCATAAAAACACATCATTGTTAACACCATCGACATCAAGATATTCACCTAGGAGAGAGAAACGCGCAAGAATCCCCATACCAACAATTCGAAGTCAAATGTACCACAACAATACAAGACCAAGAGAACATTATTTATTACTGGCATTGTAATTATCAGCAAGCCATCTTGGTTAAAAGTTTATTGAATGACGATTATGTGCTATTTGCGACAGCGTAATTGGCTATGTTTGTATTGAAAGAGGTCCTGCAACACCTTTCGAACATGGTCACAAAACAATACCGATCAGTAGTAGAGGCTTTCGAGAACGCGCGAGCCAAATAATATAGCGCAGCACACGGCCTGCAATTCACAATAAATTATCTCGACAAATGACAGAGGAAGTTAAAAAATTACTCGTAGAAAGCCATTTATCAGGCGTTGGCTGATTTGAACATGGCGCTCTCGGTCGTTACAAGGATCACCGCGGGAGGCCGCGGAAGAGCGCGTTCTATCACACTGAAAAAAACCACGTATTCGAAGAAAAATGAAAATGAAAAGATGCTCGAAATCCTGAGGCGCACGTGCCTCCCCCCCCCCTCCTCACCACCGTTCTCTCGCTTAGTTTACAGCGCTTTCTTGAAAACCAGACAGGGGTGAATGCGATTGCAGCATGCGACAAAGCTTTGTAAATCCGCTCGTAGTGGCGGGAGTCTTTCAATTTTTGTGGCATTGAATTCATGAGGCAATAAGCTCTTTTAGTGAATGCATTCCATAGTTACTTGAAAAAAGTGTTTGAGTACCGCTTTAAAGTCCACCGAATTCGTACCCGAGAAATGTCGGCTGTGGGAATATTTATGTTTTTTTTGCCAATAAAGCAGTGGATCTTTGTGAATATTTATGTAGTGAAAGCTGTCCTGTTAAAGAACACTTACATTTCTGTACTCTGTACATGTGGATGGTCGTCCACTTACTTCTTAGTTGAACTTAGTGTTTGTTCAGAACATTTCGGTGATAACTATCATGTTCTGTTCAGCTCGATACTGCTACTGCCGTTCGTTTTTAATCATATAATGCGAACGTTTTCTCTAGTCCCAGCAAGCATGTGCATTGTTTACTGGCGTCAGGCTCTCGTTAGTTTTTAAGACGATCGAGACCAGGGACTGCTTTGAACGAATACGGTTTATTGGAAGAAGTGAAGTAGCGCGCGCTCGCTCCAGGCAGCAGTCTTCTTTCTTCTTCTTCCGGCGTTTGATGATGATATTTTATAGGCTCCCGCCCGCCCAAGTTGAAATGTGATAAGCTCTGGCGGGCTATTTGAAACAACCTTCCATTGGGTATATGTGGTTCACCGATCTTCTTAGAAGCTCTTTTTTGCCTGTGCGAAGGAGACAAGCTCTTGCGATTCCGTCTCGCCCAGGGCAGAGCTTTTCAATCCGGCACATTTTTCAAAATGTTCTTGGAGCCTTTTCCTCAACCAACACGATGTCACCCGGTGAGAGTGGTTTTGCTTGCCGTGTCTTGGCTTTGACCGTAGCTCCTATTTCCTTGATATATTCTTGATGCCATCTTTTCCACCAAGCGCGCACGAGTTTGCATCTGCGTCGCCATGCGTCTTCAATGTCACCGTTGTATAGTCTTGTTTGTCCGTCTTGAAGCTGTCGCCGTCCACCTATGATGTCTGCCGGCGTTAGTGGCATTGGCTCATCAGGTTCTCCATATACGTAAGTCAATGGTCGATTGTTGAGTGTTCCTTCAACTTCTGCTACAATAGTGCGTAGCTCCTCTACCGAAGCTGTGCTTTTCGATATTTTTCGCATCGACGTCTTCAAGCTTCTTATGAGGCGCTCGTAAAATCCTCCCCACCATGGCGCGCACTCGGCTATTGTTTTCCATTTAATTTGTTGGCCACTGCAGTAAATTCTTTAAGACCTCGTTGTTAATTGTTTCGAGCATTCTGTTGATTTCCTTTCCAGCTTTTATAAATGTTTTGGCGTTGTCCGAGTATATTACGGCTGGTATTCCCCTTCGAGCTGTAAATCGTCGAAATGCTTGTAAAAAACTCGACGATGACAAATCGTTGGTAACTTCCAAGTGTACTCCTCTTGTTACCGCGCAGGTGAATATCAGTACATATTGCTTCACAATCTGGTACTTGTCCTTTGCGTAAAGAGGTCCTGTGATCAGCCACTTGCATATTTAGCAGTTTCATTTTCTCGCTGAGTTTCTTAGTTGGAGTGGGTATACAACTGTGCGAGATGACGTCGACTTGTAACGCTTCAATCACTGTTAACGTGCTTGTTTCTCGTGATCCTACAGTCACTTGCACCACGTTCATTAGTTTGACCTTTTCGTCTCCTCCAAATGAACCAATCGTCAGCCTTTCCTGTCGCAACACCTTAGCACCTACTTCTTTCGCTAATCCCGCTTCAATAAATGAACGTTGACTTCCGCTGTCTAATAACAAACAGCAATGTCGGCCGCATGTTTCTCCTTCTACGCACGCTACAGCCGTCTGCAAAAGCACAAACTTATGCTTGATATTTTCGGTTGCTTGTAGCGTAGATGTCGTCGCTTCGGCTTGCGCTGTTGAGACCAGCTCTGCCCTTGTTTTCTGCATCACCGTTCTACACACTGACGTGGCATGTCGTCCCTTGCATTGCTTGCATTTTACTTGGGCCTTGCAAATACGTGCAGTGTGCTTTGGTCGCGTGCATCTGAAGCATGCCCTATTTTCGGTAAGCATAGCTTTCTTTTCATTCATTGGAATGCTCCTACGACAGTTTTCGGTTGCGTGGGATTTCTGCTTGCAGAATAAGCATATTCTGTCCGCTGAGCTATAGAAGCTTGAAGTTGTGCGCATCTGTCCGCGGTTCTCTCTTGGTTTTGCAGTTATCCTCTCTTGTTCACGTTGTGTTTCTTCACGAAAAGCCGCTTGCTCTCTTAAGAATAACATAAGCGTGTCCAGCTTTTCCTCGCACGCCTTTCCCGTTGCGTTGTTTTGCTCGCCATTTTCTGAGGCTGAGCTGCTTCTCATAGCCTCTTTTGACTTGAACTGCACTGATAATTCTGGTGGAATTGCTCTTTTCAATACCGGTAATAACATCGGCGCATAGCTCTCGGTTTCCACTTTTAGTGACTTGAGTGCCAATATGTTAACTTGCACTCTCTGTACTAGCCTATTTAAGTCATCGGTATCTTGAACAGACCTCACTTTCTCCAAACTCAATAGCTCATTCATGTGCATTTCAATGGAATGTTCTTGATTGCCGAACGTTTTTTGCAGTATTTTGATTGCGTTATCATAATTTTCCTCTGCCGAGTACTGAAGTCCTTCAATAGCAGCCGCAGCTTTTCCGGTTAGTGATGCTAACAAGTAATTGAACTTCTGTCCCTTGCTCATGTTTGGTCTCAGGTGAACTGCTGACTCGTACTGAGACCAAAAGCGGTTCCACTCCAAAGTTTTCCCCCCAAACTTCATCATTTCAAGCTTTGGTAGCTTAACTAGTTTCGTTGCTTCTTGTCCTGTACTTGAGGGCATCACCTGCCTTGTCCTATCGCTTGAATCCGATTGTTCAGGCTGTCGAAGTCTGGTTTCTATTGCAGATAAGATAGCCGTTAATTTCATGTCGTACTCTATGACGCTTTCGAATTCAGCTTCGGCATTGTCTTCTGTTAGAAACTTTTCCATTTGCTCGTTTGCGCTCTTGAGACTGTCGCTTATTGCTTTAATCTGCGCCTGCGCTGTAAGCAGCTGCTCCCGGTTGGCTCCATCATTAATTTGCTGCTCGGCTGCGTTAATCAGTCGCGTGATCTGGGAGCGAAGCGCTTTCCTTTTCTTCGTTATCACTTCTTTGCTTATATTGAGGTGGTTAACAATGACTCCTTACTTGTCAATCGTTCGTTCTGATGCTCGTACTGTCCACCGTGGTCTCGTCGCTCGATCGAGGTCGATCCTCTGCTCCTCCGCCGTCTTCTTCTCTGCTGCTCTGTGGCAGGTTGACCTTTCTTGCCGGCGAGGAGGTAGTATCCTGGTTCACGGCACCACTATTAAGACGATCGAGACCAGGGACTGCTTCGAATGAATACGGTTTATTAGAAGAAGTGAAGTAGCGCGCGCTCGCTCCAGGCAGCAGTCTTCTTTCTTCTTCTTCGGACGTTTGATGATGATATTTTATATTAGTTAACTCATTTTTGGCCGAACCTTGTTTAATTCAGCCAACCATCAGAGTGCGTCACGCACGAAGCATCGCAAATGACGAAAAGCGGCATTCATAAACAACTGAAACGGCTGCGGGCTTTAAGAAAGGCGTGATCGCCATCCAAAATTTTACCACAAACTTATGTTGGCAACCTAGGGTACAGCTCCGGCGGCAATCTTGCTTCTTGTTTTTTTTTTCATTTTTTGGCGCACGTGAATGGCGTGGACACTATCTGCGATCACGCCGATAGCGACATTGGCCAAGGAGCAATTGTTTCGTTTTCACCAAACGCCTTCAAAACCACAGAGTTGCAATCCACGATGGTGCATTGGCGAGCCAGGTTTACTCAGCAGCAGATGCGAGGCTCGGTAGTTCTATTACGACTTTGCACGTAGATCTCGCGCATACTTTAAGAACAGGAGACGCTACGATCGTGTCTTTATTGACCACAGTTTCGTTCACAGTGCCAGCGAGACCCAGCAGCTTCCTTTTCGCTTAAGGCAATGGCTTAAGGCACACGGTATGTCACAAAACTTGAACATGGCGGAAGCTGTAGATGATGACGAAGATTGAAGCGTCCGCACGAGGGTTAACGACTGAGAAATCACTTGTATACATTATGATGGATGAAAAATCACTAGGCGGCAACTTTCCCGGCAGAAAAATTATCATCACGTGCACCTTGTGGTGTGGGCGGTGGCTTTATGTAATAGGAAGCTAGTCCAGGGCACGTCTTCACTTAATACACGGGGGACTTCAAGCACTGTCTCGTTATGAATTAAGTCGGGAATAAGAAAAATAGCGGCTTTTACAGTGCTCTTATGCAAAATATGAACTGGATTTACGCATTCACCAAGAAAATGAGAATACATGTATAGAATAAACCCGTAATTTTTTCTCGGTACTTTCCATCATACGGCATTCCATTAATACGGACATACTTTCCGCTTTCATGAAATTCGAATGATCGAATAATCACTGTACAACCCTCTCTGAAAATGTTTCGTTATTCTGATTCGAAAACTTTTTGAAATCTGTAATTTGATTGCAAGTGAACATTTGTAACACGTGACAGTAGTTTAACAGCATATTGATTTACTGGCAGCGAAATGATGACGTTTGAATGAGATGGTTATTTTACAGGTGAAGGATGTGGCAATCAAATGGCTACAAGGTCACAGAGATTTTATCTCAATCAAGTGAAAGCACCTTCATTGCATATTTAATACTTTTATGCATTGAACTCGGTCCAAGTCATGACAGCAAGCATGCGGTCAATGAGACTGTGAAAGCAAAAGCAGTAGCTCGCAGGCTGTTTATTTACATAACACCAGGGTACCGTACCTGTCTGGGTTGAACTTCTCCGGTTCAGGAAAATTTTCCGGATCATGGTGGATTCCTGCCACGGGAATATCTACGGACATCCCCGGCTTGAAATCAATTCCACCCACTGTGGTTTCTTCCGTGCAGAGGCGCATGAGGCTGCGGTGAAAGGGTCGTACAGAAAATTGTGTACTTTAGCAATAAAAGCATCGTCGACATATTATCAGAACGCCTTGATCTAGAAAACTGAGTGTTCACAATCACGTCACCTAGTTGTTCTATTATACGGTGTGACCACATTACTTAGTGCTTAGAGTTCGCAATGACATTATCACATGAGAGAAGATGGTGCCAGATGATGGATACGAAAATTAGTATTTCAAATTGGTCTTCGCAGTGTTGTGAGAAATACGCACACCAAGTGACACATAAGCTCTGCAATGCCCGAGCATGCACTACCTTTACGACGTACACACCCATGCTGAAATGCAAGGGCTTGCTATTTCATAGGGTCTGAATTCGCAAAGCTCTATGTTAGTTCTTGCTCTTTGCCTATGAACGGACGGCTTGCCCCGTGTTGATGGCAGCCTGATAATTTGCAGATACATTGGCTTGAATACAAATGTAGCCTAAGGTATCCTTGTAAGTAAGGGTCCTCACTGGGCTGTCACGAATCACTTTGCTGTTTGTAAAATTGCTTCTCGGAGCAGGAACATAATTTTTATGACTTTTTTATTCCCTTTAGTTCTTTCCCAATTTCATGGACTAATGACCTTCTGAAAAAGTGTATTTCTCATTAACATCATTTCAGTGTTGAAGGAGCTCTTACATTTTTCCGCACATCAATGAATGGGCCATTTGTAATAATAATAATAATAATATTAATAATAATAATAATAATAATAATAATAATAATAATAATAATAATAATAATAATAATAATAAATTCCTCTGATATTATTTGCCCTATCGAGGATAAGACTACAAAACACGCTGTAGAGCAGGTCCCTAAAGGTATCACCACCCGAACTTCTTTAAGATACTCCTAAACCCTAGTACGCCGTACCCTAGCATTCGTTCTATACCGAAATCACATATGTGGGACATTGCCGCAGCTATGTACTGTACATTTAATGTTACAGCGCTATATTGCAGTGCAAACTAATTATACAAATTTACGACAGAAATAGTACATGCTTTGATGCTTACATTGAGTCGGGAGTACAAAGTCTCAACGCCTCTTTGAAGCAGGCTTCGAGGTAAGGCATCTCCTGCAGGTTATCGTACGTGATCTCTCCCTGAAACAAAGGTATGCATATTAGCAGTTAACTATTTTGTTTGCTTCTTCACATAATTATACGGTTCGGGTTAAGGGAGGGGGAGCAATAATTTCGACTTCTCTTGCCAATAGCATTTCCGCACCCTTATAAGAACGTTCATAGGAATACCACATTCTGAGAAGACGCGTCAACATATTCCTTTGACTATTACTTTTGGAGAAATTGCCGCGAGTGTGAAACGTTATTAGGACGTGACTTCTAAGCATGCGAAACAATACCCGCGTGTGAAAATAAATGCACTTTTGAGACACACAGAGAGGTATAAAAGAATGAACCAGAAGGCTGTTATGTGAAAAGGTTGACTGTTTTCTAATTTACAGATGTCCGCATGTGCATGGTGGCTTTATATCTCTTCCAATGTATGAGGCCGCTGAGCACTTGTTAAAAAAATGTGCAATGGTAGTAAAGCATTTACAAATATTTTTATTCCTCGTGTTCTAGGATGTTTATGACACACAAGCACACAGTCCCGCTTAGAGACCTCAACACTTCTGGCTCTAACTTACTACTAAGTTTTTCTAAATGGGAAAAGCTGTGTGTAGGAGAAAACACAAACGAAGTAACACAGAAGACAAACGCTCGTCTAGTGTGTTCCCTTCACTTGTATTACCTCTCCTTTATGCCACATTTACCTTCTACAGATTCTTGGACCAACTAGCCCCCAAAACCCCATTTCTGGAATAAATAGCGTTATTAAGCGAAACGCATTACATGACCCAAGCGAACGAGATTTTTAGCGAAAAAGCGACTTACACTAGAAGTCGTTCAGAAAGTCACGTTACGACCAGCACGCCTCCTTGCGGAAGGCGAGTGAGCTACGCTCTCACTTCGCCTTAGCGGTGATCACTTGGCTTGGCCTACTTCGCCTTTGCGAAAACATGATCTGGCCTACTTCATCGTTGTGAAAGTGTGCTTCCTGCTTACTTCACGTTACCGAACCGATAAAGCAGAAGATGAAGATGATGGCTCAAAAACTACCTGTCGAATTTACCATAAGATCACAGCTGTGCGTTTCTTCGGACGGGAAGTCGCAGATAATGCAATTTGTATTTTTTTTCTTGCTCCATTGATTCTTGGACACCTCAAAGTGAGATTGTTTGGGGGCGCCGCTTACAGAAGCACGCAGCAGCCTATAGTCACGTGTTATTTTTCATTTTTCGCGGGCTTTCTTTATCCGCATGAAAAAAAAATGAGCGCGGATTTAGTACGTCGTTGAAAGTAGCACTGACAGGTGTCGCTTCAACATGCGCGCACCTGTCTCATTGAGGTTAAGATATTTAAGTGAGTAATTTTAGTTGCAAAAATCATGTATAAATATTTGTCATTAGCAAAAAATTTGTGGTGGTCTCTGCACTGTACAATATGCACTAGGTTTGGTTCGAGTATCGCTGTTCCTACTTTTTTGAAATTGTGCTGCTTGATACTCGGGATACCCAGTATAATCACTCTTGAAATACACACCGATCTACAGGTCGCGCAGCATCGTAGCTTTACCTCATGATGGGCAGTCGAGTGCCAGATGCAGGTTGGAGCTTTGAAGAAGAGGAATGCTGGTAGATGTGATAGAGCTGTACTGTGTCAATGTAGTAAGCTCGTGCGTCAAGTCATATATGGTAATCACTGGACAAGTAGTATTTTCGATAGTGCATTCTATCACTTGAAAGCAGATTTGATGAGTATTTCGCACACATCCACCACAAAACCTCGGCATTCAATGCTTACAATGTCGTGTTCTAAGTTGTTTTCGCAATGAGGGACCAGCCTTATGTGCGGGTGTTGTTCAGAATATAATTTAGGCGATTACACAAACCAATGGAAGCCTGCCTTCGTGAAACATAAAGGAGAGTGGAAGGGGAGGGAAGGACGTCGACACAGTGTTCAAGTTTTTAGTGCAATCGCATTAGCACTCGATCAACATGATCCACAAAGGTGTCAATGCACATAATGTGAAAATTATGTCATGTTTTTCCAAAGATACCACTATAGGTCGCTAATTTATGCGGATTCGAAAAAATACAGACTTATACAATGGCGCTTTCAAGGCACGCTTGAGGTAACCCAGTACATCTATCCATCGCTTCTCGCAATCTTAGCTTAGGCAAGAGATCAAAAGTTTTGTTTATTAAAATAACATTTGTGAAAATCAATTAGTGTGCAGCATAGTGGCCGCTTACCTCTGATGCTGCCTTGTCCACTTCAGATATGACCCTGTCTTGGCATTCGGGATTGAGGGCCAGGTAGTAAGCGGTGGTGCTGAGGGCTGTTGATACCGTCTCAACGCCAGCCACGAAGAACACCAGCAACTGGGCAGTTATCTCATCGAGTGTCATTTCTGAAAGGATAAAGTCAGCTGGACAAACTGAACGAGAGAACACAAGGAGAAAGACAGGGAGGTTAACCAGGGCTGAGCCCCGGTAGGCTACTTTGCACTGGGGAAGAAGAGAAGGGAAGGAAAGTTATAGAGGAGGTGAGAAAAGGTCCCTGACTGGTCCGACAGTTTCACCATCACAAACAATGAAACAGGCCGGTGTCTTTGAGAAAATACAACAGCGCTTTCGTTGCCTTTCGGAAATAAGATGGGCAGTGCCATGGTGCCAAATACTTTCTCGACAGTGAAATCACTTTTGTCCAGTTGATTTAAAACACTGCACAGGTGAAGCCTTTCATTTGTGTATGCCGGGCAGTAACATAAGATGTGTTCAATAGTCTCATCGACGGCGCAGTCGTTGTACTCTGTGCTGTCGGCCATCTATATCTTAAATGAGTAGGCATTGGTGAAGGCTACACCCAGAAGCAGATGGTACAACACTGTACCTTCATCCCTAGAAAGACCAGAGGGTAACCGCAGTCGTAAAGATGGATCGAGAGAATATAGTCAATGATGTGCGAACTGTGATGACTGCAACTTCTGGAATGTCATCTCCTGCGCCAGTTTACTTAGGTATCTAGCCGAGTCAATACTAGATAAAGGTACAGACACAGGGTTTGTTTGTACGTGTGCATTTCTGGCTGCTTCATCGGCGAGGTCGTTGCTGGAGACACCGCAATGACTTGGTATCCACTGGAACACAACGTTGTGTCCCTGTTCGGTCGCATAGTGCAGCCCTTCTCTGATCTACCATACCAGTTGTTCGTATGACCCACGACAAAGTGCCGACGAAAGACATTGTATAGCTGCCTTGCAGTCACAGAATGCTGTCCATCAATTAGCCGGTTGTTGCTTGATATAAACGATGACACCTCACAGGGCAACAGTTTCCGAACCAGTCGATGTGCTCAAGTGACGAAGTTTGTAAGTGATGTTAATGTGTCGCGATGGAATAACGATGGCGCCGGTGGAGCTAGTCTGGGTGGTAGATTCATATGAGTATACGTGGATTCTGTCAGTGTAGAAAGTGTGTAAACAGTCCAGAGTCGCTTGCTTCAACGCCAAGGCAAAAAGGACTTTTGTATTTCTTATTCCTGGACGGAAAGGCGCACGTCGGGTGGTCGTAGGCTCCACAAGGCGGATGGTGAACACGCCAAGGGTATAAAACCGGATGGCAGCAAAGCACGGTGGGAGCTGACGACCTTAGAGAACGACGCTTGTGGTCGTTCTTCTGGCAGTCAGTTTCGCAGCAGGGTTAAGGCAATGAATGCGGTAGCAAGAAATTGAAATTCCATGTGAAGAACAGCATGCAACTCGAAACTTGCAGCGCGCTGGTCCGGCGCAAACGACGCATGAAAGGAACGCACACAGTAGGAGAGCGAACTAACAGCTTTTACAGTGCAGCACTAGCAACGGTGCTCAAATGCAAAGGACGCACTAAACGAACGCACAGGTACACAAAGTACGTGTGTGAACTAACAAGTGACACATTTGTTATTTTTTGGTGTTTAAGAAGCTCGCTGCAAGTGTCGAGTATGCGCAACCAACTGCCCTAACTTGACCATTTGGGAAGCACGCTGCAAGTGTCGACTATGTGCAACCAACTGCCCTAAATTGGCCGTTCAAGCTGGCAGCTGGCTTCTTTCGTGAACGTGGCCGCGGCAGCAAGCGACGTGATTTCTCCGTGTTCTGTCATTTCAACGCAAAGTTTGCAGTGAAAGCACAAGACGTATACAAATTGGCCGTCTCACGAGATAAGCTTGTGAACGGGGGACCACGCCTTGTAACTAATAAGTGTAAGAGCAACGCCTCCTTCATTTCTTTCACTGCCAGTGCAAACGCGAGCTTTTCAAGGGGAGCCATCGGTCAATCCGCCTTAGTTCAAGGAGTGATTGTGATGTGACGCTACATGATAAGTAGCACTGCTTGCGTTAAACAGAAAAACTCTTGTAAAAACAACATATAAACGGAAGAACACTTGGTTGGCTATTAAGGAAAGGTAGACAGGAAACTGCCCTTTTCAAAACATGTCTCCTGTTTCCATTTTCCGGTACCAGGCCTATAGTTTTCTGCAAGGAATATTCACACAAAGAATACTCACACAAACATAATGTTCACCTAAAGCCTACCACTCCCACTGCAATACTTGTACTCAGCGATTCGCTGTAAATTTGTACCCCAGTACAAATAAACAGCCCTCACTGATATCTTTCCATTCTATTCAATTGCGAAAAACAACTGACACTTACTTCTTTCTTGAGCATTCTCGGGTTTCTCCTGTGCATTCTCCTCCCAGCTGTAATCAGCATTCATGAAAATTTGGAGGAAGTCGTCTTGTTCCTGCATATAAGCAGGCAAGAAACATGGCCCTGCTAACTAACCTGTGCATTCATTTTTATTTTGACTGCACAATCAGATATAATCGCCCGGAATTCGTCCGGACTTGCCAGTAAAATGGTAAAGTAAAACGTTCAAAGCCTATATCTCGGTTTCGTAAAAAAAAGCGTTATTCATACGTTCTGTTATCTCAAATGCACAAGGAAAACAAATTTTGTTTCGTTTTGAACGCACTTGAAACTACGCAAAATAAATTATTTGTACCCTGCTATTTCACTCATAGCACATCTAACAATTACACATGCAGGAGAGTCTGATGACCACAGCGCACATGATTCGTGCTATGTTAAAGCTATGTGAAATAAACATGAGAACATCGAACACTAAGGGGAATGAAGTTGAGAGCTCGGCTAGTTGGTGACTAAACATTATACCGTGTGGTGTGGTAGCGCACTTTTACAGGGCCAACTGGTACAAAATCCGAACACGACAGTTGCTACTAGAAACATCTTTGAAGGAGTATCGAGTGTCGCATTCCGTTAATAAGTGCGCTACTTCAACATGCGGTATAATGTGCACGAAGTGACTGTATTTGCGATCTGTCTCAATGGCATACAAACTGATTAGCCCAGTAGCACACGTTATTTACTGTACGGAAGTTTCTTAACGTCTATTCCCCACATGCTTGGCCTGACAGTCTCTTTCGTGAAATTCATGAGCATTGCAGGCCCTTAATAAAGCTTTGTGACCAACCAACCAACCAATTAAATCGTGCCCCTTTGAAAATGTTGAGTGTGGCGCGTATATGAATACAAACTACGACAAAACTGCGTTTATAAACCTGATGAAGTTTTTATATATTGTTTTAATGGAAAGGTTTTAACTGTTTTATAATAATCAAGTTTCGAAGACCTGAAATAGAATATAAAACGGGGTGAATTCGTCCACATTCATTCTTTATATGCAGTGCAGCCGTGACCGCAACAGAACGTATAGAGAAGTACACAGGAAAGGCATCCTTTGTACTTCTCAGTTTTGCATTGCTGTCACCGCTACATTGATGCTGCAATGCAGAACGGTGTATTGTCACCACACAGGCAAGCTCAACGACCCAAGTGAAAGTGATAACGGTTTACTTAAACTCAGCCCGTATAACATAACAGATAAGGAGTGTTCCAATTGGGTATATGCAAAGTGCACTGAAAAGAACGTTTTTAGTGTTCTCGTTAAACTAGCTAGAGGTACAAGACAATTCTAAATTGGCTGGATAATAGCACAGACATCTTGAACTGGTTGTTCCTTCCTGAAAATTGTAATCACTTTATAATCTTCATGAAACCTCTGGTTCAACCGCTGGTTCAACCGTCTTTGAAACGTTGTTATTTTCCGTAAATATTTCATCTCTTACACAAAGGGCATATAAAATACGCTTAAAAAGACAAACGTGAACCTTGATCTCGTGCTGCTAATTTACAGCAATTCATTCGGTACGTAGTACATTAACTTTATTTCTACAACAGAGCAAAGCTCTTTCCTAAGCGGCCATGCTTATTAGCACGTGAAAAACGATAATCGCATTTACATGATGTTATATCAGAGAACAATTGGCCATAATAAATAGACTGTTACAAGTAGAGTGACCTAGAATAGGGCACTCTAGTTGCAAGTCAGTTGCGCTTCATCACTGCCCCAGACATGCTAGAATATTACAAATGCGAGGGCGCCACCAACAATGCTGTTTGATATTCCCGGAGCGCCATTTATTTCTCTGTGTAATTCCGAACAGATCTCTGTTTTTTACACAAAAAGTAGGTCTGCTACTTGGCCCGCATTTTATTATGGGTTGGTTCATTAGAAACAAACAGCTATTTAATCAATAGAACAATAACTTCTGAAGCTGATAGTAACAATTATTTACACAAAGAACACGAGGATAATCTGTTTTGACATTCACGTCAATACTACGCACTATTAGAGGGTACACTCATTTCAAGCTATAATGGCGTAGGAAAGAGAGAGAGAGAGAAAGAGAGAGGGGGAGAGAGAAAGAGAGAGAGAGAAAGAGAGATCTGACAGCATGACTCTCATGGCTGCAGCTGCCCACGCTCCACAACGTCTGATATATTTGAGAATAAGATTTTCACGCGAATTAAAAACAAAATCGAAACCATCTCATGGTAAGCTGTGCTAGTTTTTAATACCTTGTGCGGCCTTATTATCTTTCTTTCTTCTTCATGATGAAGATAACTAGGCTGACAAGCAGCTTCATAGTTAAAATGAATCATGCAACGCCAAGCTTATCAAACGTTATCGCTTATCACTCGAACCCACCGAGGACGTCCGCCACGCCGAATCTGCCCGCCGGGTAAGTAGAGTGCGAGTAACAAAACTTGGAACGCACGAAGAATGTAGGAAAGACCTTTCAGCTCCGCTAGCATAAAACCTGGGGAAGGGTGAAAGGTGCATTCCTCTTTTAGTTAACGTGCATTCTGCGAACATTTATTGCTCAACTACGCACAAGAGAAATCTCCCACCGGTAATACATTGCAGGTCAAAATATAGTGCGTGTAGATACGTTGTGGCCAGTGAATGGCTGTGCAGCGCGTTGTCTCTTGCGGGCGGAAGCAGCGTTTCCATATTCAACGCGCCCCGTTCGCTCTCTCTCGCCGCGCGGCGAACGCTGAGGCGGTGGCGAGAAAGGTGGTCCTACTTTCGCCAAGAGTGGTGACTTTCGCCTATTTTCGCCTACTTTCGCGCTCAAGCAAATCGGCTATTACGACAGCAGATAACAGGTGATGCTCACCGACACGCTGAGATTCTAAGGTGCTTCGCCCCTTAAACGCTGTCGATCATGTTCAAAGGTGACGAACTGCAGCGCAAGGTTACGTCGCCTTTGCATTATTATGTCCCTCGTCTAATAAGACTGAAGCAACAACCACAGCCAAGCTCTCAGACATGGCGAAATGGGAGCATCCTTTTGAAAGACGTGCTCATGTTCACGACACATAGGTAACTCCTGCAATACAGTTCGTCACTTTACCTGGCTCTTGGACTTGCGTTCTTCCATCAAGAGCGAAACAAACGCCTTGAATAGGTCGGTAGATGCCTTTGGCGGATAGTCAGGCCTCACAATCTTGCTCAGTGACGGCATGAGAACTGTAAGAAAGCGGAAGTAAGTTGCGATAATTCTCGTTGTTTTTCATGGATCATCCTGAACTTTTCACAACTATAACTACTTTCCGGAGTTTTACGTGCCGAAACCACAATATCATTATGAGGTACGCTGTAGTGATGAACTGGGTGAACTTCGATTATCTACGGTCCTTTTCTCTGGTTGTTCCTACTTAAGAATACAACACGGCAAGCGGGCTTCTGGCATTTCATCTCCATCGAACTGCGACCGGCGCGGCCAGAGTTGAACCAGTCACATTTTACTCAATTATCCATACGGCCACAATGGTGGGGCAGAAATATGCATTATCTATATTAGCGAATACAAAGAGACATTTGCTCACGCAAGCAGAAAAGGGTTTTAGCTGCTATAAAATAAGTGCCTTTTATCCTATAAACCCTAATGGAAGCCTTTTCTGATTTCTGTTTCACACTTTGGATTTGCCCACTTAAACTTGGAAAGCTTCGGGTGTTTGGCGTTCTTAGCACTCCCTTCGCATCCAGCTAATGGGGACCTCGAATGCGAAAACATTTGCTGGACTTTTTCTTTATACCGATCACTGTACAGAACTATATAGTGTGACTGCTTGGACATGTTCGTAAGACACAATGGAAGCATGATACACGCAGGAGGACTAAGTAGAAGAGACTTAAGATGCAGAAGCAACATTTCATGAAAGCCGCATTTTCACGTTTTTGGGTGGCTACAAAGTGCCAGTTAAGGACTTTCGCTAAACGATTCGCATAAGACGGAAGCTTTCCACAGCCATCATCATATTAGAATCTTTGTTGTGTATTGTATGGGTTGGCAACCGCTGAAGAACTATGGTTTCATATTGTGAGTAGCCTTTTTCGAGGTGTGAACTGATTCTTGTTGGCAAAATGATGGCTTTCACGTGTTTCTGCATACCACCCTAGCTATTGCGTAAGCAGTACGAAAGCTATCAAGAAACAAGATGTTACATGAATCTACGTTTTCATATGTCTTCGGCACAGTAAGGTGATGCTAATTCTTCTCTTTGTGAACAAAAATGGCGCAATGAAGGAGGAGAAAGATAAACGGTCGTTTGACGAGGGAAATAAACGTGGTGTAACGGTCAGGTTAGCTATTTCTAAGACCTGCTCGCCACCCTAGCTGTGCAAGGTAAGGGGGTGAGGCAATAAGAGATGATAGAAAATAGGTGCTATACAAAAAGTAAGCAAAAAAGAAAATGCAAAGAAAGATAATGCATTAAACAACACTGCTTGAAGTCTCTCTTTCCAAACATTTGTTCGCAAGAAACAGAACAACGCTCTCACAATCTCCTTTGGTGGGAACTATCTCAGCCACTGTTATCATACCCTTTCTTCTAAAACTGGGTGATTGTTAAATCTATATAACACATTTTAAATTTCTTCTCTTGGTGCACCCGAAGCACGGACATTCGCAGAGACGACGGGCAATTGGCTCCTCGCAGCTGCAGTTCTTGCATGGGACGCTGTTGATAATTGCTATTCTAAATGAGTATACGCATTCGTCAAGGCCACCACAAGCCATAGACGGCTTTGGAGCGTCCTAAGCTCTAGTTATTTCCGACGGAAGAAGCAGCCGGACCTTCGAGCCCAAGTTGTGACGATGAGCGTACCACTTTGCACATGCCAGTTCAAGAGCGAGTGAACGAAGCATTATATAGTGCCACTCAATTCCACATTAGTTCTATGGATGAAGAACCAAGAAATTCTCGTTTTGCGACTTGAGCCGAGTACTTTTTACTTAATGTGAATGTGAAAATATTTGAAAATAAGCTTCACTTTTATTGGCTGCAATGACATCAAGAAATTGATGTTTCATTGACAAAATCATTCAAATGAATCACTCATCTCCTTGTGCAAGAAAACATGCAACACTCACACAACATCACCACTCTCCAGCCGCCCGTGCTCATATAAATAGATTCCAAAGATTTGATGATTGGGTGGCTCGTGTCATTCTCGCTGTCAATATCGATACTGTAGTTCAAGGCAGCTGTGATGTCGAGTGCCGTGTTGGTGGCGAGCCTGCAAAGAATATTATCCCGCTTTTATTGTATGTATTCATTGGAACGCATAATCGTCGAGAGGTTTCACTCGATCGTTTCACAAGCTGTTTTCATGGATTTGGAAGTATATTTCGTAGTGCAGAATGTGACATTTCCTAGAGAGACTATTTAGGAAATTAACCGCGTACGTGCTATGAGTTGTGATTCATGTACGCCAATCATTAGAACGACACGGAAAATTTTTATTGAAATATAAGCTATCGTTATGAAAAGAGCCTTATACACAGGTCCCAACCAGCCCAAGCCGCTTGTCAGTCAGGTAAAAATCAGTGTTATGATCGTCATCAGCATAGAAATTATTTCGGTGGCTGTGAACCCGAAAAAAAGTTCTAGGCGCACCCTAAGTAATAGTAAGCAGTTGAGACGGGCTGAGTTCCTCTCCGTCAAGCGTAAAAAAAGGGCGACCTAGGACCAGTTCGGCGTTAAGAAAAAGCGCGATCAGAAAAGGTCATTGTGACTTCGGCTCCTTCCAAGGTGCAAAGGCTTTCCGTGTGAACAATGAGGTGCCATTTTTGAAGCCACCATGGTATTCACTGTTTGCGTTGGCAGCTGAAACTAAACCGGTTGCAGCTTCACCTCTCGAGGAGAACGAAGTTCCGGAAACTTGCAGTTGTTAAGGAGCAACTCCTAGCAAACGACGAGGGATTATTCGAGCACTCTTCATCTTCCCTCTCTCCATAGCAGTGACTACATGGGGTGGCATGTTTGACGATAAACCTGCCAGGCCGCTACATTGTTCTGCCCGAACGCAGACAGGCAAGTGCAGCACATGTACCGGCAGCTGTTCTTCTCGAACATCACCCTACTTTCAGAGAGAGTACTCCGACACCCAAATCAGCTAGGATCTTCGGACGCACGCGAAGTCTGAGGGTCGTGTCTGGTGGTGCAGTACGTTCGTGACAATATCTAGGAATAGTTTAGACCGTTCGATCTCCCCGTGCATTGTGTAGTGTCCTTGCCCACTTTTGTGGTTGGAGCACCAATACCATCGAGCGCTGCATTGGCTGAAGATTCGAACAATGCACCCAGGGTTGGCAACGCGGCACTATATAAGCGGAATACCTTTTGTATACTTTCAGTTCTGCAGTTCTTCAACGAACTCTTACTTACTTGATCATTTGCTGTCGACATCTCAGTTCTTAATGATGTAAATGAATATTTGTCGTTCTTAAGAGGACCTCGTCTGACTTGTTGGACGATGGGTCCTACGACGGGGGACCACTGCCCAAATGAGACACGCTAAACCCGGAGTTGCAACACCAGACTTTCGCACTTCCTACTGCTCCAATGTGTATGATGGTATCACTTTTGTGCATGTAAGTTGCGGCATCTGCTTGCTTTTAGCAGTCGCCGTTGATGTGGTATATATAGTGTAGAAATTCCTCCGTGTCACGGTAAGGAGTCTCGAAGCACATAGGAAAGATGGCACGTTTTGAGTGGGAATACACTCAGATTTGAATTTTTTTTCAATTCATATCCTCATCTACTGTTAGATGTTTTTGTTTGTTTTTTTTTCAGGAGGGGCATGCACTTGTCGTGTAAAACATTGATGGGCAAGCAGGTCTTTTGTGACTGAAGGGTTATAAGTTTGATAACTTCATGCCAAATTGGACTCTCTGGGAACTCATTTCTCTACGAAAGTTTAAGGTTGGCAGCATGGTTACTTTTTCGCTACATTTAACTTCTGTTTAGACGCAATTAGTAGCCAATTTTCTAAATATTTGCAGGTGTGTTTTGAAGAATTGGTCAACAATTTCGCGTACTTCGAACTCAATTATGGGAGAGCATTCAGAAACGCAATGAAGTCCACGTGGCCCGTACAACAACAAGAAAGCCTAGAGATCAGCCACTGTTGCCAACCTTTTCAGTCACGTAAGCCTTAAGCATTCGTAAGCCTTATGAGGACTTAGGCATTCGGCATTGTGAGCTAACCAAAAACAAATTTAATAGCGTTTTTACTGGGATAAAAGCAAATTGGAGCTTAGTTTCTCATCAAACAAAGAATATATTTTATCTAAAAAGTAGCTCAAAGCTTTTTACGCATTAGGCATCTGTCCACGAAATAAGAATAACTGCTTCTTTTCCAAACGATTGCACAAACGTTTTTACCCTAGAAACGTAATATTTCTTTAAAAGCGATACTAAAAGCAACTATACTTCATATTAGCCCATACATAATATATTTCAGAGGTTCAGGTAAAGAATAAACAAAAATACCAACGTCACAAAAGCAGTGAACACGCATAGCCACCGTGTCTTTCAAATGAAGAAACCCAACGAGGCTAAAAAATTACCATGCATTCAAAATACTGTTGTCCTAAATAACACCAAAATTTATCATTTAGCCATTTTATTCCACGTACAAAACGGGTATAAACGTGCCACGTTTGCCTCTAAATGCAAGTTGCAAAAGATTCTGAATGCGCTCTAAGAATGACAAGTTCGTAAAACCGAGAAATTAACCCGCCTTAGTGGGAGGCACCAAATTAACAATAAAGTTCAGGGCCGGCATTAACTCACCCGCTGAAGTCCACGAGCTCATCCTTTGCCGCCGCTTCCTTGACTCGTGACGTCATCTTTCCTGCGACAGTTTTTACCTTCACCAAGATCTGAAATAAAAAAAAATCTTGATAAGTGAAACAACCTTCTAAATAAGCCAGGCGTGCTAGTTTGCATTAGAAAAAAAGCTCGGAGCGTCATTATATAAGCCATGAAAAAGCGTTATATTAGCAATGTCACGCCGTCTTTAGGAAAGCTGTAGCACTCACTGACGTCAGAGTGAAAAAAAAAACTTAGACTGCGCTCGAGCTTCGCCTTCACTTACTCAATCGCTAGCATAACTTTTCATCTCGGTAGATACCTAAACCATGCAGCAAGAAAACGAAAGTCTTTGTGGTTTTGAACTGACCGTTTCAAACTATCCTAGAATGCCTACTGCAAGGGAGGAGCCACCTTGAAACGTGCGGCACCTTGCTTTAAGAATAAATCGTTTATATACTCCAGTTATGTTTAGAAATACACGGTTTTCGAAATAACTCGTTCGTAATAAAAGCAAAAAATTGCAGCAAGCCTGAAAGATAAGCTGCAGTTAGATAATCCTAACATTCAATTTGTTTTGTCTTGCGTAGTAAATCCCATACAGGTGCAGTTACGAAGTACCCACAACGACATCATTCTCTTTCTTTCGAGTTGGCGATGTACTCGCTACAGGCGGCAGTGAGCCAACACGCCCACCTGCGCAGCTGCACACGTCGTTTATGCTGTCTTAAGAACGATAGTGAATGTTTGGGGGCTTTTTTATTAGTAGCCTTTAAGCCAGTTACACATTACAGATAGTTTGGCACCCGGTGTGTTTCTATATACGCATCTGCATGCCACGCAGTATTACATGTGATAATAGCACTCGTTGCACTATGAATATTTCTATAGCTTTCATGTTTTGTTTTCTTTTGTTTTTTTAAGACGATAGTCTTTCTTGGAGACCTTCAACACAAAACTTTTGGTCTGTCTGCCTGTCTGTACATTTTGTCTGTTTGTCAGCTCTTACCCATACCTCAAACAGCACCAAACAGCCAACCCCATTCGCAGCGCCCACCAATATTTCTCAAGGTTCAGCGTTCATACTTGTGCGATTGTGAAATAAAAAGCAAATATTTCACATATCTGAGGCACCATAACAACACGTCGATGTTTTGTGTGTGTGCCTTTATACTAGAGAAGGCACACACAAGTAATTCTGAGGACCGTGGGGTTTATCACGCTGCACTGACAGTGCAACGCGATGCTCAAAAAGGTAAGTTCTCCAACGCTTTGCTAAGACGACACGTTGGTGGCACCTTCCCGTCGCTTTGCGTTCTACACCTTATCACCTCCGAGACAAGCGCGCATCTTTCTCCACGGGTGCGCACACCTTCCTTCGTTTTCGAACTGCCAGATGGCACTCGTGTCTAACAGGCCTCGATGCGCTCGTTCGTCTCCGCTACACGCTCGAGGCACTAACGCAGCGCCTCCAGAATACAATTCACCAATTTTCTTACGCAGAACATCACATAAACGTTTTGTTAATTCTCTAGAGACGCAAGGCTATCGTCTTTCGACGACATATGCAGCGTAACATGCAGATTTCGGGCCAATTTTCTTTCAAAGCAATTCCGGGCACGGGTATGACTCTGGCTGACGCAGGTGTCAAAACAAAATCTTGCCACGCTGAAGTACTGGATTCAATTCGCACTTGAATCATGAGATTAATTTTTTAATTTTCATCGATCTCGTTTCACACATGGACAACACAGGTTCTGGTTCACATCCATCGACACTGACGCCAGCCTTAACAAGAGAATTTCTGTGAGACGAGCGCTCATTTCTTTAACATGGGGTGGATTCGCGTATCTTTAAGGTGCAACACTAGGTGGCCAAGGTGGGCCCCATTACATTAAGAAGAAATACATGATACGTAGGGCCTGTTGTGTAAGAAGGTGTGAAACGTGTAAGTTTACCAATATATCGTGTTAAGGAGAAATTAGTAAACAATAACTTTTTACCTGTCTGTAGGTGTTACACGGAAAGCTACATTGGGAATTAAATGCAATTCTTCAAAACACGATTAAGGATTAGCGTTTGTAACGTAAAAGATAAATAGTAAATACATTAAAGTTTCTAATGTCTCACAGGAATACGCAATGAAAAATGCTTCTGTAATAATTTCCTTCGCAAGATATTTTCTTCTTTTATGCTTACCGTCTTAAGTCTGGTTGCCGTGAGCGCCGGCGTAAAGATTGTTCGTGCTCTTTTCCATTCCTCTCCAGAGAGGTTCATGATGGACTTCTTCCATACTTCAGTCCCCAAGGACTGAGATAACTGTACAGGGAATAAAGATGGTCAGACAAGCGTGAAGAGGTGCATCTTAGTTTTTTTTTTTTGTAGTAGTAGACAAGCTGGGACAATATTTGAGGTTTTTTTATTACGTTTAAATAGTCTGTATAGACTTTTAATAAAATGATAAGTAAGGCAAACAAAGTTGACAATGCAAACAAAAAGAATGTTATCACCACATGTGCTTAGAAATTTAAAGTTATTATTATTATTATTATTATTATTATTATTATTATTATTATTATTATTATTATTATTATTATTATTATTATTATTATTATTATTATTATTATTATTATTAATGTTAGTAGTAGTAGTAGTAGTAGTAGTAGTAGTAGTAGTACTTTGAACACAAAAAACACCAAGATCAGGAGGTGATGGGGAGGGAGGAGGAGGAAGACGAAGGAAAGAAATGAAAGGCGGGCAGGTCAACCAGACGCGCGTCCGGTTTTCAACCCTGCACTGGGGGAATAGATGAGCGGATTAAAGGAGAAGAAAGAGAGGAGCGGTAGTAGACTACCGCGCGGGTACATACATGTCTGTCCATTACACGCTTATGAGCACTCATTTCATCCGGTCGACATTAAAAAATCTAAGTAACGCCTGAGTACTTTGCTGGCCTACAAGGCGTAGAGCCATTAAACGAGGACCTTCTCTTCGACAAATGTCTATTATGTAGTTTGTTTGATGGTTCACGTAGCACGCCATGTTCGCTCGCAAAACATTCAGAAAAACACAGTAAATATCCTATTGTCTCGTCACTATCACATGATACGCAGGAGATAGCAAGGAGACAGGCTGACGAGCCCCGCCTAAAGAGACCCCACTCCTTGGAAAAGAGGCAAACATAGAGGAAAGAAAGATAGGAAGACAGAAAAGAGGGATGAAAAAACTACAACAAAGACAGAACGCAATTAGGTAGCGACATGGGAAAATGTTTGTAAACACAAGGCCAAATCGGTTCAGTTCCAAAAAGTTAGCAGGGCTCCATGGGCTTGGTCACACCGAGAAGCACATCCTCCCGCTAACAGGCGATCATCAAGGGTTGTGCACTTAATTTCCAAAAGTCCATAGTCTTTCATTAGCCGGGCCCACTGCAAAGCGAATGCAGGACACTCTAAAACCAGGTGTTCTAGTGTATCACAGTAGCCGCAGGACATGCATAACGGACTGTCCATACGTCCTTCATATCGTTCATGGCCCACCTTAGCTAAGAAGCCATGTGCAGTTTCGACGGAAAATCATTCAAAAAATTGTGTAGTCTGTATGTCTCACTGGTTTATCGTGGTTTCTCGGAGGTAAAACTATTTCAACCAAAATATATCAACATACCGATCTGTCAGAGAAGTTCTTGAATTTTGTGACCATGACCTCTCGCAAGATGTCTGGATCCCCGACGACGAGAGTTGGTGCCAGGCCTTGGTAGGAGCTGCAATGACAAATCATGAGTATGTACTTCAGCTAAAATATAATGATAGAGTAAAAAGAGTTTGACGCGAAAAGAGGAATGTAAAAGTCCAGCAGACTTCTACACACACTGCTGCAGGGTCTCCACGCATGTGTGCAGATATGGTTTCGCGTGTTCACCCACGCTTTTACACACGCTCGTTGCCAAACCGACCGAACACTCGCTTGCTCTCCAGTAGGACCATATGAAAACTACGTTTCATGCCGGTTAACTAACTTGATGTTAACCCAGTTGATGTCACCTAAATTCGGTTAGAGCAAAAGAACGCAGCCCGAGTTTACAGAATGCTTTTAATCTAGAATTTTCTGTGAGGGGAAAGTTTAGCCGATCGCGTTACTTTACATGTCATTCGTGCCGACGGCTAGTAATTACCTAACAACACTTATTTGCGGGAACATTATTTTTGTGCGTTACCATACTTATTAGATGTGAGACGTCCCCACTACGCCACCGATCGCCAAAGAGAGGGAAGACCACCCAACCCTTTTTCTATCCGGTTCCCTCTTGGCTACGTGTCTCAATCACTTCCCACATACAGGGATTCTTGCTGGGGCCGGGAAGGAAGAGACGCTACGACCTGTTCCTGTTTACTGATGTATTTCATTTATTACTAACTGCAAACATCGTATGTTCGCGTACATCAACCACTACACAAAATTATAACACATCATTTGGCCATTCGCGACGTTCGACACAGGGCAGGCACATAAAGAAAGTAACTGCAACAATACAAGGATATGCATATATAAAGGAGATACTCGACGACACAATTGATGAGGTTATCAATGAATGAAGCCATGCAATGTCTCAACACGCTGCTTCCTTTCCTGCAAAGCTCGTCTAAATAAGGTGCATTAAGTTCATCTCACGAATCGTCCGTGTTGTCGGTCTTCATCGTCTTCGTCGTCTCTATCAGCGATTCCCATCTTTTTCTTCTTTCATAACGTCCCGCGATCACTCGCTTCCTCATTTCCCATCTCTAACTTTTATTCCTCATCATACCATCCCTGCCTAAGTCTTCATCTCATCGACTCTCATCACATCGTCCCCCCGATCGCCGTTCCGCAGTCCCTTTTTGTAGGACCCGACTCCGCCCCTCCGTGGCACCTGACCAATTGCCACTGTTGACACGACACATTTTTTGTCAGTCGGTGTGTGTCAGCTTCTACGGCCGCCCCCAAGGCCCACACCAGTAGAAAACCCTCTCCCAAGCAAAACCGAGCAAGTAACAATGTCCAGACTCAAGCCTCAGAGAGAGGGAGAGATGGGCGAGCTGTCCGAAGACACGTGAATTACGGGCGAACAATGGTCCCAATGCTCCCGACAAAGTGCGTCGTCTGTAATGGCCAACGTCCGGAGTTTGCAGGGTTGTGCCGAAGTGTTTTCGACCGAACCAATTGCCCCGGTTTCTGGTACTTGATGAGCCGATGTCCAGACCGAGTCTCAACGTCTCCATGCAGCTTGGTGTCTCCCGCGAAATTCTCCGCAGCCGCCGCTTCTTCGTCATTGAACGCCGCGGATGGCCATCTGCGCAGAACGCAGTAATGAGCCCTCGAGCCTCGGAGGCTGACAGAAAGTCAGGCCGGACCCGGCCCAGGCGCTGCAGCAGAGTCGCATTCACCGAACCACCAAAAGGTGCTCTGCTGCTCCCCCATGCCAAAAATCTGAAGGGTGTGAGCGGAGCATTGCCACCGTACACTGACACACTGTCTGTAGACAACAAGGCGCGGCCCGGTTTTCGTATTTGCGTGGAAGGGGGGGGGGGGCGAGAACAGTCGACAGAATTCTTCCAGGTACTCCACTCCGTAATGCACATTCGTTACCCCGAAGGTTTTCTTTTCCTTTTTTTTTCCCAATGCGTGGGTTTAGGAAATGAACGTAAACATCGTAAAAGGGCCGGGGTTCAGTCCGTGTTTGTGGGGACGTCACAGATGGTTGGCATTGCCTCAGACTCTGCCGCTGTGGTATCGGTGATTGGCTGCTGGCATCGCGGGTGCAATGCCGCCACGGCTGTTGCGTTCTGATGGAGGCGAAGCGCTAGATGCCCGTTTCAGCGAACGTTAAAGAACACCAGATGGCCCAAAGTTCCACAGCCCTCCGCTATGATGCACTTATTCATATTTGGGTTTTCGCACGTAAAGCTCCAAATATTATTATTATTGGATTACATGACGTGCCATACAAGTAGTGCATACGAGGCAACGAAGACATGGATACAAAGCGATTCTCGATAAAGCACCACAAAGCAAGAAGGCACACTTACCCGTACACGCGACCATATTGGTTGTAGGCTTGGATGATCACTTTGTTCACGGGCTGCAGTAATAGATGATACGCATTGCACATAGCGCAATATTTGGCGCTACAGATACAGACTACGTGTACGGATATAGCCAATAGATATGTATGGTAATGTTTGCTGATGTACAATCGGGGTCAAACGAAACGCAACAGTGGCATACATTGGAAATGGTATAGCGCGTACCATTCAATCATCACCCTTTACAGGATTAAAGCACTTTGTTTTGGCAACACGGTGCACGTCGTTCACGGTGATTACTGGATGGTGCGCACTACACCATTGCGAATGCTTGCCGCTGTTCACGTTTCATTCGACGCCCATAGTACCTCAAAATGTTTTCACCTAATAAACAATTCAATATTACTATTTAAACTTCAAAAAGTGCGTGCTCTGTATTCTTATGCCACAGTCGGTGCACTGCTACGCAGTTTTAGTAGATTGCATACCGGCTGAGCTTAGTGGGTGACGTCATGCGAGTTTTTTTTATATTAACCTTGAGTAAACATACAGCAAGGGTTATGATTTAGAGAACATTCTCTTTTTGTGAAAATCTTATTCACACTTGGAATGTTCTGGCGCTAATTATGGTCATATGTAAAAGGAACACCCACCTTTGTGTAGAGGTCGTAGAGGAAGCGCATGTACTGGCGCAATGTCAGGTGTGTTATTCCCTTGTCGTTCCAAAAGAAGAATACCCTTCGCAGCCACCTAGGGAACAAGGTGAACAATTTACCTTCAGCTACACGAACTGCAAATAAATATTCACTGTCCAACGCTATTTTCATTAGCATATCACGATGGCGAAAAGCAATGCTGAGAAATGCACCGTGTACGCTGCTAGATACCCGTGGCCCGACCCCTGACAATAGCAGAACGAACGAGAGCAACAACGGTGCCAATTGACACGTGCCTTTTCCATGGCGGCAGAAGAAATGGCCATATCCCTCGCAATAGTTCATAGTAAAAACGAGAACACACTTATCGTGAGTGACCCCAAGACGGTGGTCCAAAACTTTATGAAGGGATGGGTATCTGTCGAGTCGGCGCACATGCTAAACGCTAGAGCCGAAGATTTCAAGTCTAGCGCGATCGCTGCCAAGTCTCTCAAGTCGTTCCCCGCGAACGCGAGAGAGCTTGGCAGCGACCAAAGATCTGACCTTCTGTCGGACCACAACTAGCGCGCCCACTTCGTCGCGACACTGCTTAACTGCCGCGACGTAGACGAAAGGGACGCCGATGTGCGATAAATCGACGATGGCGAGGCACCCGAGGTTGGAAGACATAATACCTCTGCGACAACAATAACAGACTCCGAGGCTTTACTGGCCTGCAAGGGCATCCTGCTTACTTTCCACGAGATCCTCAACCATTATAGAAAAGGGTGACGACGTTACCCACCACCCCACATGCAGCCAGAAAGGTCTCAGGCGTCTGATCTGAGGCGTCTGCAGACCGACATATTTTAGAATACCCGACACCTGCATAGACTGTGTCCCGCGTTCCACCCGTCACTCGACTGTCTGTGGTGCAGGCCCGACACAGCCGACATGGCGTATGTACTTTGGGAGTGCCAGTGCGGTGTTCGCCGCTACTACTAGGACGAGCATGAGTGCACCCCAGGACGACTGGCTGAGCGGTGGCGAGCCGCCCTTCTCAGCCCACGTGCAGTGCACCAAATCTGGGCTGTCCAGCGAGCTAGGGCTATCGCCGAGGACATCTCATGATGCTCCGCGGACGATGGCTTCTGTAGGCCTAGCTCGGGCCAGTTGGATTTTTAATAAAGTTTACTACCTACCTACCTATAGAGTAATTGTCTTCTACAACTGAAGATCACTCCACTTTGGGCACTATGACGCTGTCATTCACTCACCTCCACCTTCCCAATGGCGTGAAAAACTTGGAGGACGCTTGAGTTCAGCCTTCAAGAGTACAACGCGACGGCGTAATTCTGGCTCCATGCAGAGCGTTCCTTCTCAGTGGCTAGTCTCGCTTCGGCTGCACGCCTCAACCCTGTCGTATAAGGAAACTAATGAACCTGCGCTTAGCATTGGCTGTTTCAAAATATCGTAGATTGTCCCGTGTAATTGCAGTTCTTCAGTGTCCACAACGCCATAATTATCCCTTTTGAGAATCAGCGGAAAGTCCACTACGCCTCAGTGAGGCAGCGCGCGAACCTACAGACCTGTTCACTTTGTTAATCCTTTTGCTGACGATGATAATTCGACATGTGTGAGCCCTCTGTTACACGTGGCCCTTTCAAACACCCTCTCAATCCGTATTTCACATGTTTTGATGCCTGGCTTGATTCTGAGCTTTTTATGATGTATTTCATGCGTTAAGGAGATTCCTTCCACTATATGACATTCGTACAATGCTTTTTTTCTGTCCTGAATTATTTAAAGAAATAATGCGGCTTTATGAAAAAACACCAGCTTGCTGCACTAAAAGCTTGGGTTCTCTTCTCACTCAGACACGAAAATTTTTACTATTTATTTAATTTGCGTTTTTCTGGATTTTTGGTCACAGACAAGACGATAAGCTAATGATGGCTTGCTACCTACGACGCCGATACCGATGCCGACTTCGACACTAGAATTCTACTTAAGTGAGCTCTCTAAGACTGTGAAGTAACCATTTCTTTGTCTAATAAACATTTTTGTGTGGCCATAGTATTACACCTGTTATATGAGTTACGATTTTTTCTTAAATAAACGTGTAATTTAATTCGGCATTGGCAAGGACAACTCCCAAAAGATCTGGTATAGTGTCAAGGCTGAATCATTACTGTGTCAACGTATTCTTTTCAGTACAGCAGTTTCAAACTTAAACAAAAGACAGTCTTGTTATACATGTGCAATATTTTCTTTTGTCTCACTGCAAAGAGTTAGTACATCGTGGCCCAACTATGGTGCCTGGTTCCTCTTAGCCATCTCTAAGACATAGTGGTGATTCCGGCCACAAAGATTTGCGGCAGCTGTTCTGGCAAATTTCCAGAGCCCTTATTGAGCTTAACCCAGACAATACACCTCAAGGCTATACAGATTGTTTGGAGTGGGCACGCCTTCATATTAGTCCTCCTCATAATCGCTCACCCCTCGCGAAGTAAAAAAAGCATGATGAGCTGCTTCAATGCGCTAACGAAACTCCGGTGATGCTACTAAACCAGTGTTTTTTTAACTAAACTTTGTATCGTGGTGTTAAGTAGAAATTAAACTTGTGCGTTGACCACGGTGGCGTTGGCCTTATAAAATATCTTTATTATGCATCCGGCCTCCTAGAACAACCAGGCACTTCCACGTCGATGTGTGTTTGTGGGGGGAGGGGGGTGTCTGTGTGAGCCTATGTGTTCATTTTATATTCCAGTGGCCCATCGGGTGTGTTGGTGCCGTTTGTATGTTTTGGGGATGCTTTGAGCAGGCCCAGGTAATGTGAAATTATGTAGGACTACCTCAACAAGCGATTCGATGGCACGTCGGGAACATGGTTTTTAAATGGATATGAACACTGGCTGGAATTTTCTTCCATTTGTTGGCCTTTTCTCCAGGTAGTTGTTCGTGTATCATCCTAAATTCGCAAGGGACATCCTTGCTACCTGAAAATTAGATGATGCAGGTAATCTGATAAGAATAGGTGAAAGGAAAGAGCGTTCGTTTCTTTTGGCGCTCTTTCCTTTCGCCTATTTCTCCCTGGTAGCCTGTATCGTCTAATTTTATTGCGACATGCATCAACTAGCTCAATAACAGCCTTTAGTAAAGGACCTCCTTGCCCGTCGGTCTTTTAACCGACGCGCTTATTTTTGGGAAGTACTGAATTATATAACACCTCATCCAGCTCACTCTCTTCATACCCCAGACGACGGCCTAGATGATGATTTGGTGTTTACAGCTAAAAGAAAACAGAATAGAAATAAAAGCCACATGAGACCGAAAAATTTGATAGAACACCCACCTGCCAAACAACGGCCTGGCAGCCTCCGACCAACGTTTACGGACCACGAAAATGAGTAGTAACGCTTACATGAAGAAACTAGCACTAAAAACGACTACATGCATCCGAGCGTGTTGTATTGCAACAGACATTGAATGACGAAAACTTGCCCCCCTCTTCAAGGCCATCTTGTTCGCTCTGCGAACGTAGCATTTAACTTGCACGTGGTAGTGGTTAATATACCCTGTAGTGGACTTTGACGAGTCCGTGTAGTTAGGAACGACCAGGTTAGCAGAAACACAGCATGTTATCACACAAACGTGAAATAATACCTTAACTTTCAAGGTTAATCAGCTTCTAGTGTTATTATCGCTGTTCGCGCCTTCAGAGATGCGATTATCAGGAGCACGAAAGACAGTTGCTGTTCATACATCTAAATCCGGGAACATCGATCTTGACAACAACATATCCCGTACACATCCTACATATCCCGTACCCAAAAAGGGCGCGCCGTCTAACGCACATGTAGGCCGTCTCTGTGATTATGCAAGACTCGGGACGGGTCGCTATTAAGGTCATGCGTCAGAAGTACGCATTGATTGTCTTGTTTGCTCCTTCCGAAAACTCAGACAATGGAAAGCGTTTCGTCAAGTAACGAACTGTCTGAATTGTGCATAATCCGTTCATTAATATTTTTGTCACTAAATCGTACCACGACCACCCCGCTTATGTTGTTACCGGTATTGGCAAGTCAGACATTGATGAATAAAAATATACACAAAGATTCTATAAAAGTAAAATTATATATCATCATAAACATCATCATCATCATCATCATCAACAGCCTTTCTACGCCGGGCAAAGACCTCTCGCATTATTCGCCAATCAACCCTGTTTTGGACTTTTTGCTGCCTCGTTATACCTGCGAACGTTAAATCTAATCGGCTCACCTAACTTTCTGTCTCCCCTTCGTTCGTTTTCCTTCTCTGCGAATACAGTCAGTTACCCTTAATTACCAGCGGTTATCGTGCCTACGTGCTACGTGCCCGGCTCCTGTCCACTCCTTCTTTATTTCAACTATGATATTCTTAACCCCGGTTTTCTCCCTGACCCACTCTGCTCTGTTCTTATCTCTCTTAAGGTACACCTATCATCTTCCTTTCCATTGCTCGCTGGGTCATCCTCAATTTAAGCTGAACTCTCTTTGTAAGACTCCTGGTTCTTGCTTTGTATGTAACTACCAGCAAGATGCTGTTGTTATATACCTTCCTCTTAAGTGTTAGTGGCAGATTAACTCTCATGATTTGAGAATACTTGCCGAATCTGATCTACCCAATTCTTATTCTTCTAGTTATTTCAATCTGATGGTTTGCCTTCATAGTAAATACCTGTCCTGAGCAGCTACATTCCTTTACAACTTTCAGCGTCTCTCGGAAGTGTCTATTTCATAGAGCGCTTGTACCCTTGTCTCAAATTTTCTATTTGTTCTACCGCAAATTCTGGGAGCTGCTGCTCCCTCCTTGCGAGAATGGATAAAGGAGCCTCTCAGAATTTTCGAGGTGGACAACCGCTACGTCTGGCAGCGGCTAGGAAACGTGGGACCACCTCAAGTGGCACAGACAACGCGGCAACGGAGCTCTATTCCGACAGTTTGGAGTCATCGGATGATGACTACACAGTCGTCACGAGCCGCAATGCAAAAAGAAGACTGCTATGAACATCGTCGACGACGAGTATATCCACCGTGCAGGCTACCGTGCAGCATTAGCCACACACTATACTCTTCATGGCTGTGGACCCTTCAGCCAACCTACGGCGGCTTAACAGGCAAGTCCTCTCTGGATACCTCGAAGGACTCACTCCAAATGAAATTAAAGACGTCAGGATCAACTCACGGAAGAATATTCTGGCAGTTGATGTTCTACACCGTAGTGCGCTGCAAAGCCTACAGAACATCTCGGAAATCGACAGAGTCACAGTTAAATTCATGATCCCCACTGACTGTAAGGGCAGTGTTGGCGTCATTTATGACGGGGACACTTCCATTCCCGCTGACGATTTCCCAATCTTGATAAAGCCAACTACAGACGACATCCTCATCAAGCACATCACAAGGCTTGGTCAGTCACGATGCCTGAAGATTGTTTTTGAGGGAGACAGTCTTCCCCCACACGTCAAAGTTGGCCACGTTCGCCATCAGGTCCGTCCATACATACCGAAGCCCCTACAATGCTTCAGATGCTTCAAGATGGGACATGTCAAAGGAGTATGTACCAGCAATGTCGTGTGCCCGCGGTGTGCCGAACCTCATTCAGAAGACACCTGCCACGCAACTGCGTTCAAGTGCTCCAATTGCCGCGGCGCTCATAAAGCGTCGTCTAAAGATTGCCCACGAGTGAGAAATGAACGCGCGGTGCTGAAACGTATGGTGCGCGACAATTCA